GTGCTTTGATTCCATTCTAAAGTTTTTGGTTAACCTCGATTCATTTGACCATAGAGTTTAGAATTATTTCCGTCTATCCATGACGATGACAATTCTATTTGTGCAGTATATTCACAGAAGATTTGTTATTTGATTTATAAATTGTGAACCTGGTTTTCATTTTATGTGAGATTTGTATTAACGTACCATTTTAATTACCGAACTATTGGGTAACGCCGAAAACAAAAGAATATGACAAAACAAGTATGCGCTGCTTGTAAATTCATTGCACCCGCATTTGTCCGTTCGATTGCTTTACCATATTTCTGCAAGTTGTGCTATATTCTTGTCAAAGAGCTTTTGAAAGCAAAAATATATTCATAACTTATTCAATAAGAATGCGACAGAAACAAGTAACAGTTTCCCTTTGCAAGCAGCAAAAATGTGGTGGTTTCCTTTATGGTTAAAATTTCGGATCGGGGTTAAAATTTTTTTATACCATACAAATTTTTGCCGATAACTAATCATAAGATCTTAATTATATGTGTTTGAATAGTGTGCTATTGATGAAAAATGAGTATTTTTAATGATACCATAATAATTGCTAGTGTCAAGTCATCTTCCATTTTCATTGTAAACAATTAACATCACCACTGGAATTCGGATGAATGGTATGTTCAATATTGAATATTTTGCCTTTCAAAGTAGTATAGTGGCGGTAAAAGTTAAGCATTTGTTGAAAATATTGAGCTTACATTCGCTATAACGTGTTTTGCTAGCCATATCATATACTCCTATTTATCAGTAACGCAGCACTCAGGACAATTCTCTTATGTAATATCTAAACAGAACTGATCTTGCTTGCTGCAACTGTATTTCAATAGTGTTCCCCGTTTTGGTTTTGCGCCAACCATATCTTTTTACTAAATGCGTGCTTATCTGTTCGCACAGAACATCTCCATCTGATACACACTTTTTTGTCAGTTTGAACCGATATTAGTTGCTGCCCTGTGCTTATATTGTTGTGCTCTACATAATACGTACGTTCGTAAGAGGTATCCGGCCATACTAGAGAAAATGCTATGATTAGTCCCAACGAGTTAGGAAAATATTCATTGATATTTGTGTGCTGTCCCTAAAAAGAGATAGCTATCGATCGAACATATCCTGACAAAAGGATAGCATCTCACCTTTCAGGTCTTTGCGCTTCAATAACACAAGACACAAACACTGGCTTGTATAATGCGAATACTCATTAACAGTTTCTTGTATTTTATGGATGTGCTAATAGTAAATCGAAATCAAGAACCAAACTGGTGAATTTGGGAATAAAAAAATATTTCTTATGATTGTTGCTCCACCATGTTTACATTACGAATATTTTTTAACCAATATCGGTGCCAACAACGTATATGTTCTGCAGATTATGATATCAAGTATTATTAATAAATGTATTTTCGTAACTACGCCTGTTCATCGACGAATGTCAGCCTTTTTCGTGGTTATATATCATTATGACCGATTAACTTACCACTTATAGTTTCAAAAATTGGGCGTAATGACTAACACATTCTTAATTAAACCAAGAAACAAGTGAATACAGGTAAAAAACAATAAGAAAAGATGCTTTCAATGAGGTAATATACCAAAGAAATACTATAAGGCTATAAAAAAGTTTATATACCAATGCCTGATCCATATTAGTGAATATAATTTTTTTCTCTTGAAAATATTGTTAATTAAATCAATCCACACTCTCGTACCAACCTTTGTTTCTGCCAATATAATCAACTTTAAAAGATCAAGCATATATTCATTGTAATGACATATTTTTTCGCGTTTGTGTTGCCATACCGGTTTTCACCAAGAAATCAAATTTAGGATTTGCGGTAAGAACCCGTGTTCTTAAGTATAAATAATACAATAAAGCTTTTAAAGAGGTAAAAACACTGTACTCAAGTAAATTTATTCCATTAACGCATGAAGCAAGCTCATAGACACAGCATTCTGTCAACAGCTGGTTTATAAACGCATTGTATCATCCATTTGCTCTTTGAAAAAAGACGCTGTTGAGGGCCTCTCTGCCTCTGGTACACAACACCACAGCTCTTTCAAATAGTAACCGCACACACTTTTCAGTCTGTCATTCTCGTCCTTAAGATATGCAAGTTCTTCAGCACGTTCTTTGTTGTAACTCTCTAATGCATCTAGAAATTCTCCCATTTGCCGAACATCTAATTTCCGCATCACCTTTTCCAGCTCAGAATCAGAAAAGTTCTCAAATTGAATGCGATAGTCGTTCGTGGAATCTGTCATCGTTACGGGGGTAATTCAATTCAATATGCGGTAAAAGTAAAATTGAGAAAAGGTGCCAACAAATTACAAATTAGTACGACCGAAACGTGCAAGCTGTTATCGTGTTCTTCACCAAGAGTAATTTACTTATCTTCCCATATCACTACACCTAACAACATGCTTTTCCGGTCCATTGAGACCGACTTCAGTTGCTAGCCTTTTGTTCGCGGTGTCTTTAAACCCATTTGCTACGCGAAATATCTTCATGTTTACCCGTACCATTGTTTAAGGGTAATATCTTACCTTTGATTAGGTCAAACCAAAATTATTTACCACTCCAGCGCTCCCCACTACGCCATACCAATTATGATGCCCCGTTCAATGTGTAGTTGTATCAGTAGTAATACACATGGCAACTTCATTCACCGTTGATACGATGGTAGCACTGCATCAGAAGAGTGTGTTGTTCAGATGATATTCCCCGTGGTGTTTAATAAAAGGTTTCTGCGAAAAAGACAAAGGGGGTAAATAATTCCAACTCGTGCGATTTGCATGGCTTATCCGTATTTAATTACGAACTCTCATTTAAATTACTTCTTCCCTGCCACCGATGGGTAAACCAATGAATACTTTCTACGCCATCATCTTCCTAACATACTCGTGCGTGTTTTCGTTCCAAAACTTTCTGTTCAATATTGTTAATCAATGTAAATATATCGACTTCCGCTACAATTGTTCGTTGCAGGTATTTAGCATTCTTAACTTCGTTGGCAGCTTTTTTTGGTGCTATATTGCAGATAAACGAGAAAATCACAACAATGTCCTTGCGTTCAACATTTCAATGTACATCGTACTTATCATATTCGTACTGGTAGCAGGTAGGATAACCAACAGTTTGTACCAGATTGTTACGATAACAGCTATCACCATACTTCGGGAGTTTACGCTTGGTGGCATATTGCCTGTGTTCTTTGCTCTTGTTCTGAACTACATGAAGCGAAAAAAAATACACGAAAGCAAACTGGTCGTAATCAACATATTTTCTATCCTGGGAAACGCCTGTGTAATGTTTATTATGCCTGTTATATCGTGCACCGGTATTATAAAGAACGACAGCTTGATGTCACTTATAGTGTGTGTTGTGCCTGGCGTACTTGCAATCGCTCTGCTGCTCTTCAAAGCGCCCAAGTTCATGAAAGACGAGCACACAGGAGCCAGCCACGAGAAAAAAATAGTGCAGATCATATCCACACCAAGTGTTCTGCTGTACTACGTATCTGTAATTACGATCGGCATCTATAAGTGTATAATTTCCAACTTTGTAACCACGTTTTTACAGATAAACGGGCTACAGATGAACAAGATACGTATGTTGTGGGGCATAAGATGCATTTCTGAGCTGCTCACATATATCGCCATACCATACCTTTACTTTGTATCCAACAGCGTTTTGTTCCCGATTTCAATATTTGCGTCAGCGCTGAGCATTTCATTTTACATTTTTTATGAGCTGAACATCGTAACACTGGTAACGAGTGAAGTGTTGAAAGGGGTAGGTACAGCATCGTTCGTGTACACATCAATACTTATTTTTAAATCATATGCCACCAATGATGTGCAAACACAAGTTCAAGGTATCCGTAACAGTGCATACAACGGCTTTTCGTGCATACTTTTCGGTACCCTGGCAGCACTTTTGATAGACCGTGAATTAAAAGACCCTCGAACTGTAAAAAATGAAAAGAGCGATGAAATGAGAAAAAAAATGCTGGGAGTGTTTGCAAATAGTTACTTTTTAATATTTGTTTGTCTAATGGTCACTATGATACCTGCAATTACAGCACGGTTTCTAAAAAAAAGAAACAAATAATAGTGTAAGCGTATTACACGCCTTGGATTACTGCATAGTTTCTAAAATAAAGGAAAAACACTACTTTTATCCCTTTTGTGTTGATTAACACGCGTGTAAAACGTATTTTTTGATTGATATTTAATTTTGAAAGGGGAACAAAGTACCTCTCAGTATTGGTCAAGGAAATCATTTTTAGTTTGGTGGAGCGTATCATACCGTGGATTGCGTTTAAAATAATGTATAAATAATAAAAAGAGTTCAAAGATCTTTTACGTGGTAATACGTATAGTATTGGTGGTATACATGTCTAAGACGAAAATATCATCTATTGCGTGTTATTATGCGGATGTTTTCCTTCAGTGTCAACATTTTAAACAGTGCTTCTACAATAACATTATATGCTGTATTTTCGCAGGAGTTTAACACTTCTGTTCCATCACACATTTTACAGGAGAGTTCAATATTTCGTATCCACCTTTCATTTGCTACTTTGTCTCTCCTTTCCCCATCACCTATCAATTATTGTTCACTCATAAAATGATTATCCACATTAATATTACGCGTAAATAGTGTCTTGCAAACTAATAATTTATTTTCTTATGTTGATCTAAACAAACAACTCATACCTCATCTACCACGTTCGCCCAACGTGCAATTCAGTTTTTTATAAACTCACCGAATCAACAGAAAAATCTATTGCACACACTATGCACAATTCAATAAACACTAGTGTCCGTGTTAATCATAAATCATACGTAATACGCCTCTCCTTTTATACCACGAAATTACTCCAAGTCGTTGGCCAATAAATACTCTGCTTCTGTTTTTATCTCCGATAGCTCAAATGGTCTTAATGCATTCCTTTATTACACTAATACCAATATTTCTATTTGCTAGTTAATACCAGCTACTACGTACATCAAGTAGAAAATAACACACAAGCAAAGAATTGGTTTACTGTACATAATCCACTGCTATATTATGATACTGTCACTTCGTGTATACCATCTTTATCAAATGATAATATCCCACAGCGGTCTATAAACGTATCATTAATAAGCAGGAGGTTCGCAATCGTTTATACTGGCAAGAAAGTATCGTGGCAATACAGTTCCGATCGGTATGTTTACTAATAGGTAATTAAAAAGCTAATTTACCCAATGTTTGGGAGTGGATTCGATAAATTTAACAGAATTTAGCTACCAAAATATATTCAATATACTGCCTATATAAGCTCCACCAAGTAGTATAAACCCTTGCATTTATAGAATCCACAAATGTGTCAGATTGTATTTCCAATTTTCTGTTGCTTATCGATCCTTTTCTTTAATACATTTTCGTATAAGTTTTATTAAATCGGCTCATTTTGTACACATTACTTTATTTCCATTTTTTCTCACGTATTTAGCTCGGTACTTTATCTCTTAAATCAATCAATTAATACTTTTTTGCCTAACATTTTTTATTTTCTTAATAATAGTAAAAACCGTAATTAATAACAAATTAGTGATGAAACACATTCTTTGTTTAGAGATCTATTTATTTATTTTTTTGTTAATCCATTATTAGTACTTACTTACGCACAAACAGTCAACATCACATCTTAACTTGTATATATGAAATTAAATAAAATCCTGCTCATCTATTATTTTGATAGATTGTGTATCTTTCTGTGAAGTTCAGCATAACATTTTCCATTTCCTCAATTTTGATACTATTTTTCATAGTTTAACATTTATTTTCCTTCATTGTACAAACCTTAATTAAACTGTATGACCTGGTCTTCACGTAATAATCACTCTTAACCCATTATTTATTCTTCCTCATTCATCTTCTTCAAAGTCATTCTCCAATTTTGTAGTTCCTAACTCACCTCTTGGCCTGTCAAACCCTCTAACCCTAAATTAAATGAACCCTGACAAAATTCTTTTTTCTGTCCAACCATTCTGCACGGCTCCGTTCTCTCTGGCCAGTGATTTAATTGGACATTTAACCGTTTCAAAAAAGAACTGCACATAAATAGAAAATCTCCTTTTACAAAACAAAAAAAGCGAAATCACTTCCAAACCCATCATGAAAAAGCAAGAAGATGTCGTATTCCGAACGATAACAGTATCAAAACCTATAAAACACACGTATCCACGCAACATAATACGCAACCAGAAGTATTCATGGTACAGCTTTCCATTCATAGTGCTTCTCAATCAGTTCAGGCATTTCTTCAACGTGTATTTCTTTTTCGTAAGCTTTTCGCAGCTTATAAAGACGTACCGTGTAGGACCGCTGATATCGAACATAGCACCGTGGTTCTTCGTGCTGTTCCTTACACTTGGCAAAGAAGCTGTTGATGACATACAGAGGTATGTTCGTGACAAGGAGGCAAACTCGGAGGAGTACAAGAAGGTTACGAGGGACGGTATTATGGTGGTGCCGTCCTCTACGTTGCAGGTTGGTGATTTGATTGTGCTGGAGAAGAATCAGAGGGTGCCTGCTGACATGGTAATTCTGAAAACGCATGAGGAAGAGGGACAGTGCTTTATCAGAACCGATCAGCTGGACGGAGAAACCGACTGGAAGTTAAGAAATGCTGCGGCGTCAACACAGGCACAGGATACTGCGCATTTATTTAAGAGATCCAAAGAGATGACGGGAATGCCATCTGTTATGGGGAGCTTAGATAATTTGGATGAAGGACCGGTCCAAGGATTAGATAAAGAGGTGGACCATGAACTGGATGACGAGTTTGATGAAGAGAAAGACCGTGGATTAGACCAGGGGCTAGATCATAGGCCAGGTGAAAGGTTTGATGAGGGAAAGGATGATGGATTAAACAGGGGAGTCGACCGCGAGGTAGACTATGTGTCAAATGAGGGATCTAATGAAGGATTGAACGAGAATTTAGACAAGAAAGTAGGTCTCGGTTCAGAACAAGGAGCAAATTATAAGTCAGAGGGCAGATCAAAGCATGGGACAAACCAAAGCTCAGATATCAATCAAGGAACAAAGCGAGAATTCAACCAAGGATTGAGTAATGCTGGAATGAATGAAGAAATGAACGAAGAAGTAAGTAAGGAGAAGAGAAGCTTTGCTGAAAGAGATGGGAAAACAAGCACTGATGGATCGAATCTAGAAACAAACGTGAAAACTACCCGTAGTAACAAAAACGTGAGCGAAAAAAACAATAAAAGTATAAATACTGATAGATCAAGCATGAACAAGGGAGGAGCTGACGGCTCGTCCGATGAGATTCACGAAGTTGAAGTTCATGATATGGATGTAGCAGGTGGGAGAGATGAGCAAGACGGAAACGAAAACGGTAGTAAGGATGATGACGATCAGAAACACAAGAATACCAATGAAACAGGTGCAAGAAGTGAGCATCCACGCTCAACAGTCATAAAAATTGAACGGAGCATACGGCGTACTACGTCCAAAAACATGCTTGTAAAGACGGACACATCAGAACTGTTCAACAGTGATATCGTTATTTATGCAGACAAGCCACACAAGGATATTTACAATTTCATTGGTCGACTGACTGTGAACAGGAATGGGGGAACGAGTGCTGAGCCGCTCAATCTCGATAACGTAATTTGGATGAACACTGTGCTTGCAACACAGGGGGTGATAGGCTGTGTGATATACACAGGCAAGGAAACCCGTGCAATGATGAACACCGCACAGCCCCGAAACAAGTTCGGCAAGATCGAGGAAGAGATTAATTACTACTCCATTCTGCTGTGCGTATCATCGGTAATAGCAGCGTGCATTTTCCTGTTCTTCTCGGGCATTTCTGCTCGCTTTGATGTGAACCTTGTGCGGTTCATCATCATTTTCTCTTCTGTCATTCCGATCTCTCTCAAGGTCACGATCGATGTGGCTCGCATGTTCTTCTACTCGAACTCAATTATGAAGGATCAGGACATACCGGGGTGTATCGTGCGCAACAGCAACATACCGGAGGAGCTGGGACGTATCACATATCTGCTGAGTGATAAAACGGGCACGCTCACGCGCAACGAGATGGAGATGCGCAAGGTGCACGTGGGCACGATATGTTACACAACGGAACTGAATAACGAGATAACAGAGATAATACGTAAGAAGATGGGCAGGAAACACAGAAGAGCACGTGATCTGGGCAGCAAGGTGTTTGAGCTGGTGCGTGCGCTTGCTCTGTGCCACAACGTTACACCTGTGGAGGAGGACGGTAAACGCTCGTATCAGGCAAGTTCGCCCGACGAGATCGCGATCGTGCAGTGGTGCGAAGCCGTGGGTATGGTGCTCGAGAAGCGTACGAAGGATAACGTGGAAATATGCATCTTGGGAGACACCGTGAAACGATACGTGATACTTCACGTGTTTCCGTTTACATCCGATACAAAGCGCATGGGTGTGCTGCTGCGCGATGAGGACACTGACGAGGTGTTGTTCGTGCTTAAGGGCGCAGATACGGTCATGCGCACGATCGTGGAAAAGAATGACTGGTTAGACGAAGAGGTGGACAACATGGCGCGAGAGGGGCTGCGCACACTCGTGATTGGTGTGAAACGGCTAAAAGCGGATGAGTACGATGCCTTTGAAAGCGCGTTCAGACAGGCAAACCTTGCAATCAATAACCGTAACGAGGAAGTGCAACGCGTGGTGTGTTCGCTTGAGCGCAATCTAAAACTGCTCGGACTCACAGGCGTGGAGGACAAACTGCAGGAGAATGTGAACCAATCACTTGAGAATCTGCGCAATGCCGGCGTTAAAATTTGGATGCTTACAGGTGACAAGGTCGAGACTGCCATTTCAATCAGCATTTCATCACGGCTGTTCCTGAAGCGTAATCGCTACGAGGTGCTGCAGGTCACATCACGCGAGGATGCATGGCAGCAGCTGAGCATGGTGAAAGAGAAAATGATCAACTACGTGATCATCGACGGGCGCAGCCTGCAGATTATGATCGACAATTTTATGAGCGAATTCATAAAATTTGCTGCCACGCTCGATGCGGTCGTGTGCTGTCGATGCACGCCCACACAGAAGGCACTCGTTGCGCGCAACCTGCGCATGCTCACATCGCATCGCGTGGCGTGCATAGGAGACGGTGGTAACGACGTGTCTATGATTACCGAGGCAAATGTAGGCATCGGCATTGTGGGCAAGGAGGGCAATCAGGCATCACTTGCAGCAGACTTTTCGATACTTAAGTTCTCGGACGTGACCACGCTGTTCTTCTGGCACGGTAGGAACTGCTATAAGGGCACTGCCAAGCTCATCCAATTCATCATCCACCGCGGAACGATCATCTCAGTGATGCAGGGCATCTTCTCAGCCGTGTTTTTGTTCTCGCCCATTGCGTTGTACCAAGGGTTCATCATGGTGGGCTACGTGTGCATATACACAATGTGCCCGATGTGGTGTATAATCCTTGACAGGGACGTGAGCAAGGAAAACTGCTTCAAATATCCCGAGCTGTACAAGGAGATGGTGCACACGAAGCTTCTGTCCGCGAGCTCGTTCGCCAGCTGGAACCTGATCAGTTTTTATCAGGGCTCGGTGATAATGATCGCTACTTTCTTCATGTTCAAGCACGAACTGCTCTCAATCGTAAGTATTACGTTCAGTTGTCTGGTGCTCAACGAGCTGCTGGTTGTTCTTCTGATGGTGTCGTCGATCAACCGATGGATGATCCTTTCACAGGTTGTTTCTTTGATTGCTTATGTGCTAAGTTTCGTGTTCCTGAGAAGTGAGCTGCGCTTGCCGTCTGACTTTAAGTATTTTATTGGATCGGTAGCACTTATCAGTTTAATTGCGATTGCTTTTTCTGTTGCTGAAAGACTCTACCTCAAGTATCTTAGGCCGCCGTCTTACAGTAAAATACAGAACGCCAATCTTGGATCGCTTACGGGCAAGTAATTTGATAAATAAATTCACTTTTTCGCATAGTACGTGTTTGTATGGTTTTTACGGGATGTGAATGGTGTAAGAGAAAATAATAATGGCATGGTGCCATGGCAAGTGCTAAATACCGGCAAGGTACGCGTAACTAAACGATCTTGTTTAACAGTGGTGGGATAAAGGGGCACGTATGGATTCTAATGCAATAGCTATCAGCAATGCATGTGTGAATTAGATAATCCTATCGTATAGCAGTGGGGTACGCGGTAATGAGTGAGCAAAAAAGTGCGGTACAAAAAATTGAAAAGTGCTGATAAGAAGCATTGGTGAAAAGTACCAATGAATAAGAAAGTACGCACGTAGAAAGTCAGCAAATGACGAATACAAGAAATATTTTATAAACTGAGATGCTGTGTAAATTTGATTTGCTTAAAAATTTTCAAGCTAAAGATGGACAGGTACTGTTACAGGAAGATTTACAAACAAAATTTAATTTATCAAATATACTTTCATACACAATGAACGAATTCTCGCTAGAAGTTCGTTCACCTAGAAATGGGTGTTTTATTCATCGTTGATATTGAGGTTGGTAGCTTTAACAGGTATTACTAATGGCAAGAACGGTGTAGCAGCGTTTGTTAATGGCATATTATTACAGTATTGATGGTTTATAACGATGTTATGGAGTTGATTTGCTAGTATTATGCAGTAATACGGTATTACCTTTTCAATTGAGAGGCATGTTAGTTATGATCAGCGACATAGCACCAATTTGTCGAATTAATTGTGTTTATTGAGTTAGTAACTATGAGAAATTGGTAAAATTGTAGATTTATTATTTTACAGCGGTACAAATATGGTATGTGGCAGAAAAGGAAGAATGATAGTTACCTTTTACAACGAGAAATAGAAGCTATGGATATGTTATTATAGTGGGATTATCCAGATTTACACAGTTCAAATATGACCATTCATTAGTAATACGGTTGGTACGTACTACGAGTAACTAAAATGTTTTTCAATAGATTATACGAATTTAGAATAATTACCACATACGTAAAAAATTACTTTCCAGGTAGTCGTATTGTTATGGCAAATGCTCAACTTAATTGGTTGTCAAACATATTTTTTGGCCAAACACGGTGATAAATCGAGTTTAATGTGTTCTATTGACAGCATTACGCACGTAAATACGTATGTACAACGTATATGAAGACATTTTATGCTTTCTAATCGCGTATCACGTTTCGTTATTCCTTTTGATAAGAAAATTGGTGTGAAATACGGATATAAAAATAGAGGAAAATAAAAATTAGCATGAACAGAAGGGTTATATGCTTTTATGGTTGATTCAGTTTGTGTATGCAGCATTTCCTTCGGATAAGATAACAAATAATGGTGCGTGTAGCACAACAGGAGGTAAACCAAGAATGGTTTTTGACGTACATGTGGATGAAAGAGGCATCAATGAGTGTTCAAGTGCAGGTGCTATGGATAAAAAAACAGAGAATATGGAGGAAGGTGCGGAGAAAATGGATTGTTCTGATGTAGGTACTGTGTACAAGCAAACAAGCGAAACTGAGAAAATGGATTGTTCTGATGTAGGTACTGTGTACAAGCGAACAAGCGAAACTGAGAAAATGGATTGTTCAGAAATGAGAGGAATATCTAACACACCTAAAAAAAAGTTTTTGAACAGGTTTAGATCGGCAACAGAACATGAGAATGACGTGAATAGGGATGTTGGCAATGAAAAAACATGCAACAATGCACCTAACGACGAACTGAGTTTTGATAGAACTAATAAGATACACCCGTATGCGTATGATATGCGGCAGCGCAGTTCGAGAACACAAACAATACCAACGGCATCGTTGACTTGTTCGAAAGAACAAGAAATGGAGGATACAGTGACCGATAATTCTATTTTTACACAGCACTCGTTTAAAAGCGTAAATATCGATAACAATGATGGAATGAATCACAAAGATTGTAAGACCTCACTCCCAAGTGTTTCGCAAATTAGTAAGGGTGCCGGAAAAACTGAACCATGTATGGAGGGAGAAACATCGTTGGTGTGTTCGTTGATAAATGAGAAGATCGGTACTGGTATAAACCGTGAAGACCATGGCAGCAGAGATATAAAACGTTCCAAGGAATGGCGAATACCGATGGATGTAAGCATGGAGGTAATGCAGTCAAAAAGTGTGGTAACACGTGTTGATGAGAGACACACGGAAGAACACTCAATGCATGTGGATGAAAATCACTCGGAGAAACGCTCAGAACATGTGGACGAAGAGGATGGATCAAAGAATCCCCATGGGCGAGTTACAAGTCCTTTCACATTATACGTCCGTGTTTTGGAAAATTTTTGGGGTTGTAGTGGGCACTGCCTCTCTGATAATGACAGGACACGCGAACAAACATATACACAAAATAAAAAGAAAACATCAGCGGATATGACAGGAGATCATGCTAAAGATAAACGTCATGCACAAAGCATCTTTGATGCTATTAATACACGTGATAATACTGAATGTTTGATGGATGACGAGGAGGAGCACCCGTTTGATCGATCTAACATGCGGTATACAAAGAATGCCAAGCAAGCTTCTCAACGAATTGAACAGGTAAAGACACGTTTACGTACGTTCATAACAAGTGGAGATAATGTAGTAAAAGAATCAATGGGTATATTTTCGTGGAATATAGATAATTTACTGCTTTTTGAGCTGATAAATAATTTTCGTCACAACAATATAGACGATATGGAGGAACTTATCCGCCAAAGGAACATGCTCATCGAAATTTTAACACTGAACAATTTTTGTCGCAACACTTTTGTAGGCTTATGCTTCAAATCATTGTTTGTCAACCAGGCATACATATTTGCCAACCACGAACTCGGACACAAGCTTGCCATTTTTCCCGAATTTTCGTGGCTGAGCGATGTCATAAATAAAACGGATGTAAAGCAATTAAAACATAAAACTGCAGATCTGGTTGTGGCATTCTATGTAATGGGAAAATTTGAACAATTCATGGAAGCGATTGTGCTAGAATATACTTGCATAAGGAAAAAAGATATGAATAGTGATTATAGTACAAAAGAAAAGGTCATAAATGGGAATGACAATGCATTCAGGGTTAAAAGTGTGATAAAAAGAACAAAAACGGTAAATAATGATGTAAACATGGAAAGCGATGGAAACCAAGCATCCAATAACAGAAAAGATGGCAATGTGAAAGGTAAGGGTTACCGTGCAGGGCATAGCACAGGTGAGTACATGCACCCGGCCGAGTACGAAGAATGCACTGTGAATGAATCTCGTGATGAAGAACCGATTAAAAACCACAAACAAGACACGAATGACCAAGCAGTACACAAGAACGCACAAACACATATCATTTACTTCTTAACACAGAATCAAAATTTAAACAAATTATTTGTGCGCGAGTTCTTCATGCTCTATCTCATCAATCTGTTTCTTTCTGATTCGTATTTTATGATGGCCTACGAAAACATAACAAGGCTCAGTTTTGACTACTTTTACAAGAGGGAAGGTTATAAAATTGTTCTGAACAAGACAAGCGATAGCTTTTATGATTTTATGTTTTTTAATCTGATGATTATAGTGCCTACGTTACATCGCTGTGATGTTATAGACCAACTCATCAAAATGAACAACACTTCGTACTTACCAGAAGAATTTAAAAAGGCATACACAGATATGCTCAAAAATCATGTATTAGCGTCTAAATTCTGCACCAAATTACGAAATAACCTGGTGGGCACTGAATCATCGATGGTCGACGCATCGTACCATGAGCAAATGGAAAATGTGTACACGTCAAGGAAGTTTGTGTATGCCGGTAGTATCACATACAATTTACTGGTACATGCATTTAATCTTGGCTACGATTTGTGCGAACGTAATAGGCCAAATAAGTTTTTTTAGCGCAGATCCAGCATATAGCAATTATTTTTTGTGCTTTAGCGGTTTGAAGATGATTATTCGTTTCTTGTGGTTTTATCCAGATTAAAAATATAGTTTACCATGCATCAGTGCTTTGTATGTACACGCACGTATTTTATGTGTGAGTGCTTATCACTACTGCCACAATATACATTCTGTATTAATACCTTGTTCACAGAGGGATTAAGAATTGAATCAACTTTACAGAGCTGTCTCACCGGATAAAAAGACGAAGATAATAGAAAGCTAAGTTTGTTCACCATGGTAAAAGGACAAACTCAAGTAATTCTTCATGCTGGGTTTAGCTTTCATTTGTTGAAGGTCTGTTCAACTCTCGGTTTACGACCACAACAGTAGGATATAGACATAGGTAATGTATTTTTCTCAACAACTATACCATCTGGTGCCTTGTCCCATGATAAGCCGTGTTTGAATGCTGTATTGATAATCTATAGCTTGTTAAACAGGACTAGTACTGCTGAATTCAGAATCTCTAAAATCAATAAAAGTGGTTAAAGACTGTATTTAACGACAAACACCGTTGAAGAGAACGCAGTTGCACCTGTTAAGAGATGATTATTTGTGCCAGCATCAGATAGAGCTTCTTTCAGGAATAACAGCAATATTTTAGTTCCAAGTCATCGGGATGTCTATTTAACAGAGAAGTACATAAATTCAGGAAGTATTCGTTTAGATTAAGCTTATTGGTGTGAATAGTGAATAGACTTATAAGTTTTGGATAAAATTTGTTGGTTTGGTCCCTGTCATCTTTATGTCACTAACTTACAGAATTTGTTTCGTACAAGTACCACCATACAATGCTAATCGTTCATTTCTTGCCAACCCTATGCTTGTCACATCATTCAATACGTGTTTAATTTCCAATTTGTTTTCTCGAATTCAACAGACCTGCCTTCACATATTCTCCAATCAGGCATGTTCATACAACATGACAGGAACACCAATTTCACCCAAATGGTAAATTCTTAATCTTCGAGCTACGTGTATGAACAAAGTATTACACCAATAGCTAAATCATTTTACACTCTCATTCATTTTTTATTTTAATTTTTGTCTTAAAAGTGGTGCAATAAATCGTTTCTAGGCCAAATAATTCTTTTATAGGAATTTTAATATAAAAAAGAGAAATTTTAAATGAAAAATTTGGCAGCACTGGTGTGGAGGGAAGAGTCATAGACAAAAATCAAGAAAGTACATAATTGAATTTATGGATAAACAAATACGGTAAACGTGAATGCTGTAGACAACAAATAAGCACAGCTGTAAAGCATCAAAAAATTATTGCACAAAACGATTCTCAATTTAAAGTGATAGTTAAGATGGAGGAACAAAGTACGGTAGATCAGAACTACTCGTATAAAATGTTATATTGTGCAAAAAGGTAATAATTGCACAAATAATTCCGTAAATGTAAGCTTGGTGATTAAACATAGAACGTACGAATTGATTCATACTTTACACGTACAACATAAGATTAATACCGATTATTCGTCATATTGCTAACCTGTAACGTAGTAATTACTAAAACTGTGCACATGGGTGTGTTACGGTTTGGTATAAAATATCTTTTTATATTTAAGGTACAGATCGTGTAATTTGATAGTTAACAATTCCGTTTCGGTGCGGATGGTGCCTATTCGCTTTGCATGGTTAATTACGTACTATGTCTTATTTTTTGAATATTGTTCTCCCAACCACCCAAACATACGTATAAACTGCTTTTGTGCTTAAGCTGAATATAATAACCTCAATTCACGCCATGCACCTAATCCGATGCGTATGCACACTATAATGTAACAGATATGCAATGCTCTTATACCAAGCAACAAATGCTATTTCCATATTACACTGCAAAATATGCTTTCTAATTCAACTTATAGCATTTTATGTGTCATGCTGCATCACTAATTTGTAACATTCATCAAATGCACAAACAACATTTAATCATACCATTTATTTTTAAAAATCATTTTATTTTATGTCTACCCCTACAAAACAAAAAATAAACGTTGTAAATGGCACAGCAAGCAATAGTAAAAACACGGATAGGCAATAAATATGAGGGTACGTTCAAATCATTCGACCAGGTGGAAGGAACAATAGTGCTAGAGGATGTACGGCTGTGCATACACAGCATAAGCACATACACAGATGGCAAGCGTAGTATTGACAGCTTGCCTATTATCAGTACCGTGAACAGCAAAGTGTTTTCGTTCATCGTGTTTAAGTTGAAGAGCCTTACCTATTTGGAGATTGATGGGGTGCAAATCAAGACGAATATGTTCATGGGAAGGTCTGATGAGGAGCATAAGACTAGGATAAATATGGAAAATGGATGTATAAACAAGGCTAAACAGGTGGAGGAGGGTGTTTTATTTGGTGTACAGGATTTTGAAGAGAAATTGAAGTTATGTAAGCGGGATGGCGAGTTTGATGGAAGGTGTTATGAATTGGAAGGAATAAGTGATGGTGTTATGGGCGAAAGTGACAGCAGGAGTATCGGAGTAGATGAGGTGAGCACCATTGCTGTTGTTACTGTTACCGATACGGGTATAAATGAAGAAATGAAGAGCGGTAAAAATGAAGGAATGAGAAATGGTAGGAGCGAAAGAATGAAGAGTGATAATAACGAAAGAGCAAGAAATGGAAAGAGCAAGAACAATGCTCATGAAAAAATAATGGACGAGAAGGACGTGTCGTTCAATCTTTCATTTACCGATGAGGTGCTGGCAGTGATGAACAGCAGCGAAAAAAAAGATGATAGCAGCGAGAGTAGGAGAGCACGTGACAAGAAGGATTTCCGCGAAAAAAATGAAAGCTTTAGCTACAAGGGCAGCATTGACAAAGAGAAATACGCAAGCAAGCGCAATCAGCACACTTCTCCACGATTGAAATACGCCCATTCGTATGAAATTGATGCTTCGAACAACGAGCACAACGACGAGTCGTATTTTACGAATCACAGCGAGGGTAAGCCGCGCGCAAGGCACCCTAAAAAGGCAGTCAGGCAGGAAAAGAAGCGATCTTGCGAAAAGGACGCTTACGGACTGAAGGGCAACGTGCCCAAGAACGACTTTGATTTTGCTAACACGGAATCGATCGATAAGATTGAGAGCGAGGTTGAGAAGAGCACCGATAACAGCAAGAAATCATTCTTTGATGAGTTTTGACGTTTACTTGTGCTTGTCCTGTATATAGAACACATTTTAATATTTTGTATTTCATTACACACATAGATTTGCAGAAGCACATGTTTTTAATTAAAATATTTGCTCTGCCATCGTTTCAAGCGCTGTGAGCGGCTACCTTTGTTCTTCCTGTTTTGGTCATCTTTGGTTTCTTCAACACTTTCGTTTTCAAACGTGTTTTTGAGATTATTATCGATCTTTTTGCTGTTGCACGAGAATAATTGATCGTGAGCGGTGATATCGACCGTATTACACCGGTATTACCGGTCATAACGTGGTAGCAACTCAGCTTTTGATCGATCATTTTTTCGTCAAAAGCAATTTACCTGCTTCAACGCCAGCAACACTCCAATAAACACGCTTTTCAGATCAATTGTGACCGACCTTCAGTTTGTGATTATCACCTCCTGTGCAATTGCACCGTACCCGGTGATGTAGCACAATAATTATCGATGCATTTCTACTCCTCACACGTACAACCGGTCAGTATTTATATGTTATGGTTGATCAGCCGTTCAATACGTGCCCAGGTACGATAATCTATGTTTGCCACTCGGCTCTTGAGCGCATGATTGTTACATTCCAATGGTTAATTTACTGTTATGGTAAATTAATTATAAAGTAATTGGGAAGTACGAAAATGGTTGTGCAGTCTTGGGTGTGTATGGGATGGTAAAGATGATGCAAATGATTAAATGATAATTTATCAGAGGCTGCTGATCATAATTTTGAGATTCTAATTTACATGTTGCAGAGCGCTGTTTGGAGCTGATGGAGTGCTGCGTTCTTTTATGGCGAGAAAGGATGTACGTTCTTGGTCGTACCAGTGAAAATATTTGATACATCTCTTTATTTGCTGTACGGTACTACAACATCTTTTATTGAACATTTTGTGCCACAAATTACCACTCATGATGCTACACATCATGGTTGTGAAAGAGCGTTTGCACACTTCGCTTATATTGGCTTGTTTATCACAGAATTACTTCCTTGTAGTGTCCACTTGTGCATAAATCATTAATTAATTAGAAAAAAGGAATGTGAGAAAATCTAATCACGGATATATTGGCTATGATTTGTGACGATCCAGGCAATCATGGCGAAGAAAACAACTAATTTATATGAATCTTATTAGTTTATGCACAAAAGTATTTAAAGAACCATATGTTGCATAAACAGGCCGGAGTAGCAACATTTACTGTCAAGAAAAAATATGAATGTATGAAAAGGAATGATGTGACTAAGAAAAACATGACAGGTGATAGATTAATGAGTATTAGCGTGTTTGAACGGTTGCACGTTTTGGCAAGAGCGGGGTAATTTGTGTGATGCAACACTGCGCGGCAAAAATTGGAAGAAATTAATTTACAAATTTAAATCGCGTTTACATTACGTATTTATAGGGAAATAAAGATGAAAGACATGGTATTCTGCTAAGATATGTAACGTGAAATGAAGTGAGCGATTTATATAACGATTGAGTGGCAGAAGGACAAAACAAGCCAAATTACTGCTGGTAAAGAAGGTGCTGTGATGCGAGTAGTGCGGTGTAAGATTATATTTATTTGGTGGGAAGAGCATTTTGACAAGGCTATTAAAACAGAGGAACGAACAATTAACGTATCCAAGATACTCCAACAAAGACCGAACGAATCACGATAAATGCCAACATCATGACATTCAAATACATAGGTGAACAGCAATACTTTTAATGGGTCGTTTACAGGCATATGCGAGAGAACTAATAAATGGTCGTGCTATAGTGAACGATGAAGTGTATGGTTTACGTATGAGGTAATATGTTATAGACGGAGCGTTTGTAACACGTAAGACAGAGTGTGTCCGGTGAGTAGCTGTGATGGCTAAGGTGAAGTGTTATGTGTGAAATGTTCATAGCGCGTAGAACGAAATGCGCATGTAAACCATAATCAATGAAACATTGCCGTCTTCACGATAAGAACTGATGGTTCGTACGGATCAATTAATTAATGTGAGCCTCCATGACAGCACGTAGAAGTGACTATATGTAATTGGTTACTGCGTAGCTATCCAGAGAACACGTACTATAGCACATCCAACCAGTCTTATCGTTGACGCATCGCCATTGATGTGTCATGTCGTGTTGCTCATCGTCTCTCCCTCCTCCTTGTCATTAATTTCGTTTTCTGTGGTAAAAATTTTAAATATAAGTATAAAATAATTTACCCATAGAAAATGGCAGTACCTATCATTACAGAAGAAAAGAAAGAAGAAACCAACGTTGATGATAAAGCAATCCTGAACATATATGAGAGATGGGAGGACTACTATCTGAAAGACCCTCTGCTTCGCGGTATTTACTCGATTGGTTTTGAGACGCCTTCTTACATCCAGAAGACAGCCATTGGCCCGATATTGCATGGAAGGGATATACGTGCACAAGCACAGAGTGGAACGGGCAAGACCGGTGCGTTTGCAGTTGCATCTTTACAGCGCATCGACGAGACACTCCCTGCCACACAGGTGCTGGTGTTGTGCAGTACCAGAGAAATTGCGGAGCAGAATGCAGCACGAACCACAGAAATTGGAAAAAATATGGGAGTGTCTGTTCCCTTTCTTGCGGGCGGATTTAACGTGGGAAGAACGAGAGAGGAGCTCTCTAAGAACCCTCCAATCGTAACAGGCACGCCTGGACGTGTGTTGCACATGATAAGCACGGGCGACTTGAAAACAGACAACATTTTCCTGCTCATCATTGATGAGGCCGATGAGATGCTCAAGAGAGGTTTTAAAGACCAGGTAAGAGAAGTGTTTATGTCACTGAATAGAGAAAAAATACAGGTGGCAATGTTCTCAGCCACGTGGGACAAGAGTGAAATGGAGGTTGCAGATGACATTCTCAGTGATCCAGTGATAATCCATCTGAGACACGATGAGCAGACACTCAAGGGTATTGATCAGTACTTCGTTAATATTGGCAGCAAACCGTCACGTGGTGAAGACATACAAAAGATGGAGGTCCTTTTAGATATTTATAGAAGGAGTGAGGTGGGCCAGTCCGTGATATTTGTCAATTCGCGATCAAAAGCTAAGTTTTTGTTTGAGGCCCTCAAGACACACAAGTTCCCGTGTGAGGTGATACACTCCGATCTTACGCAAAATGAACGATCTGATGTTCTGAGAAGGGTGAGGAATGGTGAGTGCAGATGCCTTATAGCCACAGGTCTTATGGCAAGAGGAATTGATATTCAGCAGTTGTCGATCGTGTTTAATTTTGATCTTCCAAAAGGACTTGACAAGAGTACCTATATACATAGGATAGGACGAGCAGGTAGATTTGGAAGGAAGGGAAAGGCTATTAACATTGTTTACCAGGATGAGATGGAGTGTATCAAGGAATTGGAAGGATTTTATTCTACGATGATATCTCCTCTGCCTAATGATTTTAATTTGAAATAAATTGATTTTACTAATGATATTGAGTATTCGTGGTGCTGTTTATCGTTATTTAAGGAAGATGCTTACATAGCGAGGAAATAGTATGAGTATTTATTAATACTGGGTATTACATACGAATAATACTGTTAGTGTGGTTGATACCGCTCGTGTTATAATTGTTATACCCGTGTTTTATCCTGGTACATTAATTACACAAATGTTGACCTGTACCTACCCTACTTGTTTATTTTACGTAGTACTCTGTTGCTAATACTAAATATTATTATCATATAGTAAACCGTTATACGTTCAAAATATACAAGCATATTTTTAAACCCTTGCCAGGAAATGCATTTGGTACTATATTGTGATAGATTCAGTAATTTTTGATAATGCACTGATAGAGCAATATGGTACTACGAGCAGGTAATTCTATGATTTAAAGAAGATGTGAACCGGGAGATGCATACAGAATGTGCTTTATCGAGCAGTTTCTTCCTGATATAGATAGCTATACACACCTCAGCCTACTGTTGACATCTGATCCTAACGTGAAAGTAGTAATACGGGTAAGAAAGAAAAGATGATCCGTATGTCCATGAGATGAAACCGCTCCTCACACAGAAGTTTGTGCCAGCATCCACCAAGATGCTTTTGGTCAAGTTCGTTCTACTTCCGATTGCAACCTACGGGTGCGAGTTGTATAGCGTCCACTACCCATTCTGGAATAAAAGTTATTCGAGCGCTTCTGAGGAAGATCATGAAAGTCATGGCTTGTATGTTAAAGTCACTGCTGCGGTTTCAGCACACCTTTATATTGTGATAGGACGCGAGCGAAGATTTTGAGCAAGATGAAAGACAAATTTTCCCTTTGAACTAAATTCTAGTGGTCATGACCGGATCTAGCGGACCACAAAAGTGTGTTTATTCGGATATTATAATGTGTGAATATAAGTAAACGAGTTTTAGTGAAAAAATGAGCTACTATCACATATGTTGTTTCCTTGCACTAGCATTGCCATAATTACCCCTAGACTTAGGATGTTGTTCTGTATTGTATCGTTTTCTTATTTTATTTAGCTTCAGCCTCATCTCTCAATACATTGGTACATTTTTTTCTTCTTTTTGCTGATAGCATATCAATTTGAGAGAAAACAGCTGTGCTGTAAAATTGCTGCAAAATCACACAAATATTTGCATAATAAATGCCAATTAAATTGATCACACTATAATATCTCATTAAATATTTTTATGTTACCATCATTTACAATTTTTCTTATTGCCTGTCAAAAAGATGCAATATAGTCATCAAGACCACGGTGATTAGCGCTCATTCTTGGTCAACCACCATATGTAAATATGTTGTTACGATAGAATATTTTTAATTAAATACCAGTTTAGTAACAATTGTGTCATGGCTCTAAAACACGTAATATCGATTGTGAAATGGCAACAAAATATCATGTCATGATTATCTTGAGAATACTAGCACATTGCATGATTATAATATTGTATGAATAACATAAAGAAGACGAGTACTGATCATTACAACCGGTTTGCTCAGCAACTCACAAAAAAACACTTCAAACAGTGCTTTAAGTAGTTACGACGTTAGAAAGACAAATGCAGGTGACATTTTATGCTAACAATAGTTGATCAACATTGATGACATTTATGTTCAATATTTGTTCGAATTGATTTGATGATAAGAAATTCATTTGGAGTAGAAATGATAACAGGAAAAGGAATACAGTGATATTAGCATACATAATATAACTGGTGCACATGCATTGTACTTAACATAAATATGATAATGCATTGATAATTGCATATTGTAATGTAGCATTCAGCTTTTCGTGAGGTAGATCAACACAGTCACAATATGAGCTTTCTGATCAAAAGCAAAACATGTGTTTAACAGCAATGTATTCATCACTCAACAATACTTTTATTTTTCAATTATCATATTATTTCATCTTATCGAAGTGCACACAATTAACAACAGTGTGTTGACCATGAATACTTCGTTCACACAAACAACTAGTTTATCATTTTCTGTAACAGGTTGATGAGAAAAGCAGGTCTATTTTGTGTGATCGATATCATAAACAAGAAAAGAATACACTAAACTTGTAAAAATGTGTGCAGCAATACTGTCAGTGTCAAAAAATTCGCAATTTAATACTAGCATTCTCCTCTAATCACATGACTGTTCATATTTGAGATGTCAAAAAAGCACTTACTGATAAGAATGAATTTCATTGTGATTTTTGCAAATTTAAAACTATAAAAGGAAAGAATTCTGTGAATCACATGATTTTTTTAGAAACTTGTTGTTGATTCATCAATTGTTATGTGCCAACATAGATGGTGGAGAGGATGATGACGGTTCAGAATATGTGTACGCAGAAGAAGAACTTAGGTATGATCTTGAGCACTTACTGGATGAACCTGAAGAACACTTGGATCTCAGGTGTGCCCACATTGTGGAACGTCTTCTCTTGTCAGATTGTGAGACACTTTTGGAGAGGGCAACAATGGAGAAATACGAGAACTTGAAAACCTTCTATCACGAGCTTTCAAAGACAATACAAATTGTCTACGAGGCAGAGAAGTTCAGCTTATACTTTTCTGCTCAACAGGAAGATAATTCTGAGCCAAGAGAGAGATTGAAAGTTTTTATTGACAAATCAAGCATTGAAAAAGCAAAAGATATTTTAAAACGATTCGACCGTGTGAATTTGACAATTGTTGTTCATAAATGGTCAAGAAATTTATCTGATGTCAATCTCGGTGATATAATGCAGAAATTTGATTTTATTACCGACCTGTATCTTCTATTTTTGACGCATATATATACAAGTGTGAACGGTAAATCTTATAACATGTTACAGAATTTTCTAAATTTCGAAAAATTTCCAAAATTGCGAACACTTAAGGTGAAGCATATGTTTGTAACAGATGAATTCTTAGAGAAAGTGAGTAACATGAAACTGGAAAGTCTGATGTTTATTGGATGTACTTTTCTCACTTCCAAGGATACTGTGCAAACTGTGCAACAATGTAAACAAATTGAGGTAGCTTTTGGAGAATCATATGAGAATATCTGTTTCAATAGGTGCAGGTGGTTTCGTCCTATTCTATCGCCTCTGGCACATAAACAAACAATAATAATCAAAGTCAATCTAAATAAGTGCGTAAAATTACGCAATCTGACGGTAAACACGGGTGAATATGCGAGTGTTATGCTCAGTGACCAAATAGTAAGGGGTCTAAGGTGTTTATCACTAGGCGAAAAGAACCGTGAACTGCTGCTTTCGTCTTTTCAGTGTTATGATATTATACCAGAGTATTTATCAATTGACATTTTTGATCTAAAGCTCGCTATTAAGTTTTAAAGGAAATTAACCGAAATGAACTTAAGCATTTAGTATTAATTTGTTATGTTAATGATGCTTCTAATTTATTTAACCTAGACTTTGCCGCCCTTAAAGTTTTAGAAATTGATGCTGGCGGTGGTAATTTGAGGTTGGATGCTTTGCTAACCAGTGGAATACAAATGAAAAAGTTAGAAACACTGAGAATAAATTGCTGGTGTGTAGATGAAGAGCTCATGCAAATGATAATTAAGTTCGAAATGTTGAAACATCTTGAAATTCGTATTGCGAATTGGTATTTTGGTCCAAGAATTCTACATAGACAACTAAGCAATTTGAAAGGTCCAATAGAAAAACTCCTTGTTAGTTCTGAGTTGACCATTTATGAACTGGTGAGGTCGATAGAACCTTTAAAAACGCTAAAAGAATTTCGCATAGATGGTAGATCCATTCAGTCATCATTTGATAGCTTCGCCAATCGAAATGATGATAAATGCCAACCTGCAAAAGTTGACGCAAATGAACAGAATTTAATGCATCTTAAACTTCACACTCTTCATGTTAGCGTAGATTCAACTTATGAAGAACTAATCAAACTTATATCACACGGAGACTTTAAAGCTTTCGCTGACATTAAGAAACTGGTGATAGATGTAATAGCAATACTTTCAAAAGACAATCAGGTGTCGTCTGAAAGTTCGCCAGAACTGCTAAATAACTTGATCGAAAATGTTTTTGAGACGTTCAAACAGCTTGATGTACTTGTGTTCTGTTATAAGAGTTCTGACATATCTGAAGAAGAGGCGCATATTCTCCGTGAGTTTTTTTCGTCAAGATGTAAATCTCTTAAGGAACGATGCGAGTGGTCAGATGAGTGCGATGAAGAACAAACCATTTTCGAGCTTTATAAGTAAAAGTTAAGTTATTTTTCGATATTCTGGTGCTGATCATTTCTTTTTCATGATTGTAATGATCTCAGGTCTCATTTTTCATGGTATTCAAGCAATCTATAACATATTAATGACATGTAACAGCATGAATGATGTTATCGATCTAAACACAATGTATTGTGTCTCCTGCATATGATCAACGCCATTGCAACAGAAAATTTGTTGATATGAACAATTAAGATCTTTGTTAAGAGTAAAGCGATTTAAAACCGCTTGCGTTGAGATCACTGCTCTGTCATGTTAACAGTAATGAAGTATTCACCAAAAGTAAGAGTTGGTATAATGTTGTGATCTATTCGAACATACTACGAATGACATGTCATTCAAAAAAGCGATTTGTGTTGTGAGATAGTCTAGCTGTCATGCATCGGTAGAAGTGTGACAAGCAATTTTAGATATGTTAATTTCATCAATTCACCTCCATTGTTTTAGAAAATTGTTGCTGTTAATCGGGCAACTGATGAGCTGCATTAATTAAATACGTGTGGCACGTTCATGTTTGTCTATTGCCTGACAGATATTGACAGGAGAAAATGGTCGTTCTGTGAAAGGTATGAGAGAGAAACAATATGGCATCTCTTCTGGGAATAATAATAATAGGTTGAGCATCGAATACGCTTTCCTGACTGGATGTTAAATTGCCACGGATCACATTTATCTGCAAATCTGAGAATAAAAATTCCTCAGAGTGCTCTTGAGAAATGGTGTCGCGTAAGTTACGGCTTACATTAGGATCAGCATTGTGATTGCAAAATATCTTTTTATTGTAATAAAGATGTGCATGAAGATGTTGTGCGAGATAATGCGCTAAGTTTCTTCATGAACTGGAAGTAAATATATACGGTTGGTCTCAAAGGACCATAAAAATGTGTTTTAAAGTGTTTTAGATGATAAGTGAACGTATTTGAATGAAAAAAAGAGAATAAGATAGGAATTAAGTGCCATATATGAACATTAAAATGTAAGGAGTAGTTAAAAATAGTATGAATTATGGATGAAAGCAATATACTTTATCATCAACTCGTATGAATGATCTTCGATATGGCAGACAGACTATTAAGAATGTTCTTATGAGAACAGGTAATTGTTCAGAAAGGTGCTCGGAAGAGTAGTTCAGTTCTATCCTCTACTCCTTGGGTGACCACGTAGTGGTATGGAATGTGTACTACTGCGCCAATATTGGATGAAATATCGTATTTAGGCAATGAAGGATGATCAAAGTACCACATATCGAATACTTTCTCACCTTCAACATTTATCACAGCTCTCTCATCCTGTAATAAGCGGGTTGTGCCAAAAAATCAGCATTTATAAATGCATTTAATTAAAACTATTGTAAATTAAGAACATTTTCTTGTGCAATACACGTAAGCACGCCATTCCTTTCTATCTCAATTTAAAGCATAAATTTAATGCGCTCGTAACTTATGCGTGCGTAAACACAAAATGAACACCTGCCAATATTTACAACTCGACCCCACATCCGTGCCGCCCTTACCTGTTCCTCTTCGAAAATATTACAAGAAATACAAAAAATGCTACAAACAGGAACAGAAAGAATCCTAGCACGTACACAGGTGTCATTCCCCCGTTTTCATCATCTTTTTCTTCCTCTCCCTTTCCCCATAAATGCACTATGTGTAGTAAAATATGTGCAAGCATTTTCTTCCTTTTATGTGCGGTTTATGTGCTTCGATGGATCACAGAATGGACGAATTGAAGGGGCGTTGATGATTCGTGTGGGGTTGATTGTGGGATGGTACGTATTCATGCGATGTATTGCATTGCATTATCGGTAGAATGACTGGAGTTACACTGTTTTATGCAATACATAAATGCGCATGTATACACCGTGATCATACTTTCTTTCCATCACTAGCACATCCTTTTATGATACAATGTTAATCTCACCACGTGAACAAATCATCAATGATGTTTCAGCACCTGTAAAACATTTTTATGCACACATAATGTATTAAATGATTTTTCATGCCATGTTGATACGGTGATGTGCTGTGATTGGTGACGCAGCATGAAAAGCATTAGATATTGTGGGACGGGATAAAATATTTTACGGATGTGCTGCTGAATTGATGGAAGAGCTTGAAAAGCATTTTATGTGTTTGTAATGGCTCACTGTGCAACATCGTACTGGCGTGTTACTTAGGAGAGCGTTCTGATGAGGGAAGTGATTTGGTACGGTTCAGGAATGAAAGAGTGGTGGTGGTACTGGCAGGTAAAACTATTTGTAAGAGATTGCTAGAACATAGGCTAAGATAAGCAATGAAACGGGTAGATTGTTTTAAAACGCATGAATTATCGCTGTGCATTGCTGTTGATGCACCCATTGCAACACGCCATGTTTTACTGGCGGTAGGAGTAACACGGTGTAAAGGAGCCGTTTCTAATCCACAGTGTTTTAGAAAATAAGCTAAGACATACTTTGAGAAGACCTGGTGACAGTTCGTTCAAAATACGATTTAGTTGAAGTGCCCTGCTCCAAAATATAAACTTGAAAGAACATTTCCTGATCTGAAAGATTTACTAGTACATTCACTCATACTGATACCACACCGCAACACCCCTTCACCTCAACCGTATCTCCTCCTCCCTCTCTATCTCCACTACCATGCTCCCCTGTTCCCTATGCTCCGTGTGCCTCACACTCCCAAAGTTAAACATGAACAGATGGCCGTTGCTGTTCCTCCTCAGACAGAACAGGCAAGGCTGTGTCACGTGGTACCCCACGCATGATACACAATTTATGCAGAGTATCTCTCTAATAAAACACTTGCACGTCCTTGTAATGTACGTTCGTGGATCAATCAGCACGTTCATGCACCGTGCACTTGAAAATAACTTAATCTTTGGATTTGATATCAGCATGGCTTGTACAGCGTGTTCACTTACCCTGCACTTGCACCGCCTACAGCTGAGAACGAAGCGTGTGCTCATTGATAGGAGATTTATTGTTGTGTTTATATAAAATGGGAAAATCTTAATTAAAATATTTGTGATCGTTGGTTTTGGTGTGGAGTAGGGGGGTGACAGCACGGTTATCATGCATTATTATATATTTATGCATTTGTATGCATGGCGTATGCTTGTTTTAATGCGTTCTTAAAACGTAGAAATTATTTATCACGTTTTGAATTAATTAATTTTAGAGTCTTGACCTGTTCTATTACCGTATTATTTGTATTGTTATTACCGTATTATTTGTATTGTTATTACCGTATTATTTGTATTGTTATTACCGTATTATTTGTATTGTTATTACCGTATTATTTGTATTGTTATTACCGTATTATTTGTATTTTTATTACCATCCTATCCATACTATCCATCCTATTCATACTATCCATCCTTTCCATCCTATCCATCCTTTCCATCCTATCCATACTATCCATCCTTTCCATACTATCCATCCTTTCTATTCTATCTTATTCCTATAATCATGTATTTATGCATGGAAGGTTAATCTTTAAATTAATGTTTACAATTCTTACTATTTTATTTATGCACAATTGTACGTATGTTTATTAAATAACGGTGATTGCAAATTAAATTCATGCACTTTTTCATCCCAGTACCACGTACCAAACGATCTAAAATACTAGAAATTGCTCTTTACAGCAAATATTTATTATTTCATATTTATTGTTGCATGTGATCATGGCATTTTGCGGTATAAAATATAAAAAATGCATAAAACATAAAAATAATATTTTAAACCATCAATCTCCTCGTTCTACTACGAATACGTTTATTCACCTCTTCTCGTTCATCTTTTTAATGCTGATTTTCATTTACTAATTTACAGTATCATTACGTGCAGCATTACTTTTTATCCATTTTATTATTCCCAAATTATAAATTACAATTAATCCGTACATAACCGTACGTAAATGCGTTAAAAATTATTTTTCATTCGTAAACAGTTCAATGCACTGATTGTTACACTGCACATGACAATATGTGCATAAAAAAATTTTATTTTCATAAAAGGATGTATTAATTATGCAGAATATGCGAAGCATAACCATCCGTACTATGAAAATAGGATTTAAGTGCAAGACCGTGTTATCCTTGCAACACGGGTGAACAATTCGTGTTACCGTACCTGTAGGAGAAAAGAACATTTACGATTTGAAAAGAAGCTACGCCAAATCGATGTACACCAACGAATACGCTTTGCAGCATATTTGCTTTATTCTGCAGGTGATAATACAGGAGGGCGCTTTATTTATATTCAGGGCCCGTAACTACAACAAAAACGAATACCTGTGTGAATTATGCATTAATTCTGTCTTCTACTCAAATGATGTGTACAGAACGATTTATTTATCTTTAGGCAGTGCTGTAAAGAGCATTATTATTTGATGTTGACATTTAAAGCCTTTTAATTTAGCATAAATGGTGCTGGAGATGAACTGAGTACTAAATCGAATTACTGCTTGTAACGAGGTGAAGAGTTGAGGTAGAATAGATTTAGTTTTTTGCGTTCAACTGAATTACCGACTTACACCTAATCGTGTTCTTTGATTATGCATTGTTGTGAAACAGTTTAATCAAACATCCCTCATGGTTTTTGTAGATCATTCCATTCATTGTTAAAAAATGAATTATTTATGCATGGAATGAGGTGAAATATGGAAGAACAATGATTGACGGACAGGTACTCCGTAATATGAATCGTGCGTAAGGAGATGAATGTCCAACAACCCGTACTAATAGTAAATATCCTCATAGCAATATTCCAATCTCACAGCTTTCTTTCCCTTTATACCACCATCCATAAAAATGGTAGAAACGAGCATATCACCGTTCACCCTGTACAGAAACTCGGTAATACATTCTAGCTTGTGTATATCAATGTATAATGTATCGATCTTGTTTGATTTCAGCTGTTCTTTAGCTTGTTCTAGATTTATGGTCTTTGCTTTTGGTTTTAGCCTGTTGCCAAGGGCAAATATGTGTTCCATTGGGGGAAGAGATGATTTGAAAATAAAATGTGGTATAATATTGAAAACGAGAATGGGTGATAAATCGTACTAATTATGGTTTGTTATGTGGTGTAAACGAAGTAATAGGTGCATTTGTTGATGGTTTGCTGCGCGGTAGTTGAAAATAGAAGAGTGTAATAAATCGTATTAGTGATTACTGATAAATCTGGTAAATGTATCTGTGATCCAAGTGGATCACATTATACAGCAAGTATGCTTGGTATGTACAATGTATACCTTCTGTGTATTCACCCTACAAGTTAACACGTAACAACATTCGATTCATACATAATTTTATACATTTTGTTAGGCTGTATTTGATTCATCTCTTCGTTTTATCACAAGCTGAAACACCAACCGTTTTTGTTCAACAGTACCTGTGCTTCATTCGTTGCTCCAATCTAATACCAGTGCCTATAGCGTACATCTTTCTTCTCATGCCAATATTTAGCAGAGTTTTTTGTTCAAACGGCGGATATGAATTTCTATCCATCCCTGTGTGGCACCGGAAGGGAAGTCTTTAGTTCGCACCATTGTTAAGGAAAACGGTTCATTTAAAGTTGACATGGAGAGTAATAATTTTAGTTAACATCGATATGCAGCAAAGGATCACCATTTCTTGAAATATATTCTGGCAATAGCACAATATCGTGTTGTGTGATCAGGCGGTACCTAGCAGAACATCCAAAATAATTGAGCAACAGGAAATATCGTGTTGTGTAATCAGGCGATACCTAGCAGAACATCCAAAATAATTGAGTAACAGGAAATATCGTGTTGTGTAATCAGGCGGTACCTAGCAGAACATCCAAAATAATTGAGCAACAGGAAATATCTGCGTAGTACATGACCAATTACAAAAAAACAAATTAACATAAATTTTGTGGAATATGTGGTACTACTGTTAGCTGATATGTTCACGTTCATCAATTATTCTTGTTTTCTTATAGGATTTGTTACGTACTGTTTCATATTTACCGAGAAAGTATAAAAAAGACAAAAAGATAAATTTACGATGCTTGTTCTTGCAATCGGTTTAACTATAATAGCAATCTTACTAGGCGATTTAATAGTATCAAGCGATAGAGATCCTTTATGGGAGAGGGCGCACAGGATAGGACCATCATTTTAAAGGGCTGATATTAATTATATGATGCATGTTTTGCTAGGCTATGAACTGTTGCTGCAAAACGATGCTTCTATCCTACCAACAAAGCTAATTAGCATCGAAGAACAGCTTTAATACATAATTGTGGATTATTTTACCGTATTTGATTACCAGTTGTAAATAAATTAACGTTTACAACGTTAGTAATAACATGATACGACCATATTTTATGGGCATACCATGTGTAGAAGTGTATTATTGTGTTGTATTCGTACTCGTACGACTCATTGGGCGGAATTGATTGGTGTTCGTTCCTTCTCTTAAAATCAGTGAAACGTTCCTCAAAATTATAATATTACACGCATCTTGCCTGTTTAAACACTACCAAGCCATGTATCACGTTCTTCTTGTGATTGAAAGGTAAAAAATACGCTATAATGAACGAATCAGGTGTGCAAGCACGTAGATATATCATTGTATGCTTTTATTTGCTTGTTCGTGATTTATTAGTGGTCGCAGCACTTGTCACATGTGTGATATAGTTAACACTCAATTACACGATCATTCTTGGCACCTGTTAGAAAGACAAAAATAGACCAAACGGTTGCTGTTCGATCTGCTATATAAGTATTGTCAGGATTGGTACAAATTTATTATGAATTACGTATTACCTGGTGTCTACTCTTCTGCTAGAAAAAGGGTGATTGCAGTTTACTTTTCCATTTGTTCCTGCTGCTTAGTATTTAAAACGGGCATTTGTACAGTAACACCTACTATGGCTACGAAAGCGCTCCTCATTTGTGACGTTAAACTGTTCAATCACGTATAAAAATGTATCAGATATATCTTCTGAGGTTCAAGTGATTTGCACCGTATTTTATTGGAACAGATCAGCTGGTTATACCGCCGAGATATGTTGTGCATAACTCGTAAATATCACGCCCGTTTGCTTCCAAAGATGAAGAGTGTACGCTCTTTAATTAATGTTAAGCATTCCATCTCCTCCTTAACTCGCTGTAGATAGAACTTGCCGAATCTGCAAATTCATCTAGTCTCTAGTGCGTGAGCAGTTTAAAAAACGAAAGTCCAAAGACACAGCATCCAACCACAAATCCTACACTACCTAGCCACACCAGCCATTTCTTTCTCTCCACTCCCATATTATAGTAAAATAGAAGCGGGAAAATCAAGCATATCATTGTGGACGCGGTGGCACCCACAAATGCATACATTTCGCCGAGATTAAGGCCTGTGATGGTCAGCACATACGTGCTTATGAGGAGCAGAGTCGTGATCACAGCGTGAACAAGATTGTTTCTTCGCTTTTTTGCGTTGAATCCTAGCAGGTTGTATACGTATACGCGTGCAGGGTTTATCTGGAGTGGATATGAAAATCCCATCACACACACATACAAAAAGTGCAAGAACAGCGTAATGTTATCATCTGGATAACTCTTCAGAACGTTGTCGCGCATGTTTGTGGCGTACAATGCGTAGTTCGTAAAGCCGAACACCATGTAAATGACGAAGCTCGTGATCGTGGTGGCATACACAACCTTCTTCATTTTGTGTGGCGAGTTGTCAACAACCTCATTTTGCACCGATATCAGGTTCTGATGGCACGTGAATGCAAACACAAACGTTCCCAGGCCCTTTAACCACTCTATTGATATCGGTTCGTACAGAGTCACGTGTTCAAGAGTGCCATGTTTAACAAAGTTATACATGGAGAAGAACAAAATGAACGAAATGGCAATCAGGCCAATCGATGATGTGTACTTTAAATTTTTGAGCTGCCTAAAATATGTGATCGGCGAGATACAACACAGAAATACGAGCAGCGCTACCTTTGGCTTCGAGAGCACCGACTCGTCGAACACAAACCGGACCAAGTTCGGAAGTAGCTCCCTTATAATGATGAGGTACGAGGTAGCCACGCCAAAACACTTAAAGAACACGAAGAAGTCCACAATAAACCGTGTACGTGGCACACTCTCCCTTGCCAACGATGTTATGTTTGTCGAGCGGTCATCGAGGAACGCGTTGCAGTACAGGAAGATTGTCTGTCCCACCATGGACAGAACAGCCGAGATGCACATCAAAAAAAACGTACTAATGGCGCCATACGACTTAAAAAGCATAGGTATGTAAAGTATGCCGCTCCCTATTATGGTCTTCAGGATATTCACGTAGCCAGAGATGTATTCTTTCATGAGCAATGGTATTTGTGTTATGAAACATCGCTTATAAATGGTAACACCGATTTGTTTCAGAATTTGTTCAATTAATGTAGACATGTAGTAATTGATAGAATAATTCAGCACACACCAATGGGCATGTGAGCCCAATGAGTACCCTTTCTGTTCAAAGTACTTTTATTTATCTCCTTATACCACAGCATCCATACGATCCTATGAAAATCTTCTGTGTCCCAGTGTACGGAAGTATGTGTGATAAATTCAGTTCAATAACATTTACGTACGGTGTACAATTTGGCATTGATTCTGTGCACAAGACCAGGAATTGACCAGAACAGGATTTTTTACGGATGAAACCTATATTCGTGACAAATAGCTTTTTACACCGGATGAGAAAAGGCATTTGCTCCGTATTATAAAGTAAAACGCATAATCTGTTGTACTTATGGTTCAACATGGCCGCGAACAGGACTTCAACAAAAATTACGCCAAATCTGGAATGGAGAAAAAGCGGTCGTAACTACAGATAACACATCACCGCTTCATTTTTACAAGCCTCAGATATAGTTACTTGGTACTGAGCATTAATTCGTTCTGTAAAGAAATCACAACTCAGTACAATTCGTACGTATCACGTGGTACACGTATTTCAACCATCAAATGATCGTGAAAACAATTTATGCGGCTTCTTATCGTACATAACCACCAATAGCGATTCTGGTACCAAGAGTCAAAAAATACTTCTACAATCTGGGCATGTAACATTTTCTTCATCCATGATTCTTATCAAAAAAGTTGCCTTCTATTGATTTAAGGAGTTGAAAAAATCATAATGCCCGTGCATATTGAGCGGACCATATTCTTTGGTATGAACCGCACAGATCATGGTAAACATGACTGTATATCCCTGCAACTTGAGCTGAACGTAATAAATTGGCGTAGTACGGATTATGAAACGCGGTCTATGCTCCACATCTATTTCCTGCACCATAAATACTAAATTAAATTAATCTTTTGTTGTACATTCCTCTGACAGTCATTCTTGTTCCACCGCGCCAGATCACCGGAAATACCCTGTGAAAGAGAATAATTCACTATGATCTATGAGCTCGCTTCTAATTATCTTTCACATTCAAAGCATTCACCTCAATTGAAAGTACAAACTTTTAATTAACACATGGCTAAGGATAAATTCCCACTAACACGCAACACAGTAAACCATTTCATTCATACTTCAAATACTCTGCACGTACAGGCTTCTTTAAAGGCACCATGTATCGTTTATCTCCATCTCTTTCCAGCGATATCCTCATATCGTACGCATCCTCTTCAGGACTGGTGTAGTATCCTAACACTCTCCTGTACTTGACGTAACCATTTCTTTCGTAGAATGCGATCGCCTTAAAATTACTACATCGCACAAAAAGATCGACAAAGTACGCATTTCGTTCATTTCCTTGTGCCTCAAGGATGTGCATTAAAGACGTGGCCAATCCACATTTTCGATGCGTTGGCGCTATACTCAAAGAAGACACATGCATGGATAAAACACCCTTTTTTTCCTGTTTTCCGATGATATAGCCCACAACCCGGGAAGTGTACAAGAAATAGGGTGAACAAAGATCCTGCGTCTTTACAAGGCACATATTGTCTGAAAAGTTGAGATGATAGTACAGGTAATAGCTTAGAGAGTAATTGTCTGTTGTGGAGTCTAAATTGACGAGATCGAGCGAAAAAATGTCTTCTGGGAGGAAAGGCACGGTCTTATACATGGGGGCATGGTTCAAAATTTGCAAAAAATAAACGTGGTGCAGTCTGAAGAATAACTAGGGGCGTTTGTACGCAAGAGGGAGCACGAATTAGCCTTTAAATTTGCTATAGCAAAAGTTTCAGAACGTAATTATCACATTCCAGCCGTATAAAATATGTCATATGTTCGCTTGCAAACGGATAAAGAGTTAACAAATCTTTTAGCATCTTTCATGTTTGAAAACGTTCATTTGATCGATAGCCGAATGGATGGTGCTCAAAACGGTGAAATAATACTTAAACAGGAATAATTTGGTTTAATGATGATTTAACGACAAATACAGTATTTTTGTATGATATAAATCATTTGTACAATACGATTCATATTTTTTTATTTCAGTGTGCTATATCTTATCGTGAAGATGTACTAAAAAAATGAAAGAGTACTTCTAGTTCGTATTTTAATACAGCAAGAATGTAAAAAATTTGTTTTAGTAGATATTGTGGTATATCGGAGTAAACAGCCTTTCATAGGTGAAATATAAAAGTAAATTTGGTATTGCGACGATATCAGCTATTTAAATGATTAAAAACAAAATATGGGAACAGCTGCAAGATCGATCCGAGATGTAGCGATCTACACTGATGTTCACTTCATAACAAGAGTGACCTGTAATATTAATATCTTTGAGAGCATCACAACAAATAATATATCGTATAAAATCGTAGATACAAAGGCACGAACAGATTATTCTGGCAAGAAAATGAAATAATTGCTAACCAGCGCTTTAATTCAACCAAACATAATGAATTAGGGCGTTTATAATTAATTGTGGTACGTAGTAGACAATATATTACATTATAAACAATTAAATTAAACAACACCTTTTGATGAACTAAAATAACATCCATTGCCTTGTTCTGAGTCATATCTAGGCAATATGACAAGACAATAATTAATTAATACGTTGGTAATGTTGTGCTATGAAACACAAAAATACGTTTCGGTGCCCATCGTGTTTGATGTTACTGCAAAAACCTCGTCCATAATTAATCTGGTAATCCAGATTTTGTTTTTTATTTTAGGATAGTGGTTATTAACATATATCAAGTAATTCCCTCAAGAAAGGCACGTTCTCGCGTTAAAGATGTTTTTTAATAGCACAATATGAAGTGGTAGCGTAAATCATACAACACGCGAGCACCACATAATTAGCTATCTACGAAAACACCAACACACTAAAAGACTCCGTCACCCTTGAGCATCCGTCCAACAAGCTGTTATTCAGTTCTCTCGTGTCAACAGATCTTCTTTTATCACATTTCTCTGCGCTCACATTTCTCCGTCCGATAAAGTACAAGTATAAACCAATCAAAAGCAATAAACAGAGAATACACACAATGGTAATGATATCAAACAAATCGTTATCAGGTGTTATAACGCTTTGTGTCGGCATGTAAGACATGTCTGATGGCTGAAAATTCTCTGTTATTTGCTGTTGTTCATAAGTTATAGTATTTTGTTCCTCTAACATTTTTAGCTCGTACGAGTTTAATCTATTAAATAACCGCAATTTACCCTTTTGGTAATCGGTTGAAAAAATATATCGGAAATATTTGCAACCCAAAGCAAAACAAATGGTTAAATAGGAATGATAAACTCAACCATATGATAATGCAATGAATAAAAGCATGCAATCAATAATTAAACGCTGTTGTTGGAGGGTAGAGCACTTTATAATGCGAATAAATACGGTAAAAATATTTCGATTGCAGCACGTGTAATTGCATGTATAAAATATCAAATGTGCATCAAAAGTATTATCTAAGCATAATTGGCAACATATCGGAATTTCTACTCATTATAAAAGGCAAATTGGCGATCATCCATTTAAGGACATATGCCATACATTCATATCTATAAGATTAGAACTATACATCGAATCCTGTTTGTTTTATAATCACAAACCGTCATAATAAATTAATTATTATTCGTATTTCTATAAATTTTAATTTTTTTTCCTGTTCTGAAGTATCAAACGAAGAGCGTCTTGTTAAAACATCATTAACCTATTCAAGCAAAACATAATCGGAAATACGATTTGAATATTTTACCGTAGATCTGCATATATTCTGTGAGTTAAGAGACTTGAAACTTAAAAAGTCATCAATATAAATAACCAAACAACTGGGTGTCTGTTAATTAGTTCACAAAAAAATCTAAAACTTTCATTTCACACTTTCACGAAAAAAAACAAATGTTGTTATAGAATTCATTGTCTCAAAAATACTCTCAGCTGTTATTAATAAACAATATTAAAATACACGATTAACAAATGCAAATTAGTTCATTAACCTTCACCACGATTAACTACAAGTGAATTGTTCGATTGGATGCACGAGAAAAGCTGCACTTATTCTTCTTTAGTGCATACATACTTGTTTTCTTGCATATATTAGCGAAACCATTGGTTTCTTGTACTAGTTCGTTTTATAAATCGATCAAGAACTAAGAAAGGATGCTAAGATGCGTAAGCTAGAAAGGCCGAAGATTACATTTCGCAAATCTTGGGAGGCAGTGACGAGATGATGTATGTTCCTTTGCCACAAATAAATTTTCTGGCTAAGAAAAATACTCTGTTCGGTATTGACGTATGAAAGCAATAATTTTACAAAATCTATTTTTATACCATTCTCAAGCACACAAAGCCTTTTTTAAAATTTGTTTTTCTAGGACACATCCCTGCCGCATAGCCGCTGATCTTTGATTGCGTTGACATGTACTTTATAACTCCGTATTAATACGTTGACAATAGTTTATGCCAGCAGATGGTTCAATTCAATAAGCAAAGAACTGCAGAAGCAACGAAGACAATAGCCCGTAAGAGGTTCGATCGAATCAGAACATGTTGAGTGTGTGTTGCAGTGAGTAAACCTTTTGATCATATTTCGTATCGCTGATGTTTTTACCAAAAAAAAATCATGTTTCTGTTCTATGAATGAAGAGATAGCCGATTTAAACTATCTTAAAGGCCATAGCTATATTCATTCACTCAATAAAACATAACAATCGATTCAGCGTAATATGAATTATAAACAAACGTACTGTTTATAAAAAGCAATCAGCTCGATTGTAAATTTCTAAATTGGCTGGTTTCTTGTTGGTTGTAAGGCCATATTTTATTACATACGTATTTCCATCAGGCAAAAATAACCTCGTGGATAAAATGTTTTTCGTAACCAAGGATTTACTACGCTAAATGGGTAGACATATACAATATTGAATAAATACAAGTAAATGATCTTTCTAAGCAATGTTCATGCCATACTTACGTCGGAGTTCTAACATTTATTAACTTTAATTATAGGAAGAAACAAATTTCAGGCTTCTTATCGCAATATTTCTTGGTGGCAGCGCAATAAACCACATATCCGCATGTTTTCAAATATTTTTCTGAGTATATATGCCTGGTCTCATACACCAGCGGCCTATTACTTTCATTTATTTCATCACCACATCCTTTGCATCTAAGGAAGGTGTTTGTTCGCCTTGAATACGGTAATTTGGCAGCTAGACTTTGTATCCACGGCAGACAAGTCGGACATTCATCGGCTCTCTTCTTGTTCAAGCAGTCGATGCCATTAAGCGTTATTATGCCAGCAACTATTCGATTTGTCAATCGCGTCTGTGGTGGCAACCCTTTAATGTGGCACAGGATCCTTTTGTACTCGTTAATCAGATCATTGAGATGAACATTTATTTTTTCCATGTGCGAGTTAGCGTCCCGTACCAGAAGAAACAACCATTCTCTTATACTCCCCACAGGTATTTGCTTAGTTCTGATGAATTGTATAGCTTCATTGTATTCCTTGTTGCAGCAGTGCATGATGAAAGTTCTGATGTTCAGATTCTCCATTAAATCACTTTTCAATTCTTTTAGAAGTATTTTATTGGCCTCACAAAAGGTTCGTAGTTCTTCCAAGTTGTTTTTCCTTATGTCCTCCTCTTTCTGCCTCAGTTTCTCAAAATACGGTATTTTTTGTTCATAAATGTGGATGTTGTTTTGCTCAAGATACTCTTGAATGGCATAGTCCAAGTTGTCAAGCGGTTTTAAACCATCATCACGCTCCAGTATTGCGAATTTCTTCTTTAAACTCTCTTTTAGTAGTTTCAACTTATCCCTGAGCTGTTCCTTGTTGATCTTTCCTTTGAAATGCATATCCATTAGTTTTTTTATGAGACGAGCAGTGTTCCGTGTAAAAATAAGCAGTTCTGCCTCGTTTATAGATTCTTCTGTCATGTTTATTTATTTTTGAGTTCAGAATATGTGTCATCACAAAGTTTTATCAAATTTAGATCAGTAAACAATCGAGCATTGCATCGTAAACACGTTGTTTCGTGCTGTAAATAATGTCTGAATCAGGCCTAAATTATCGTGATTTATTTTTGCTTGCTCTCTCTGTAGATCATATTTATTGCGTATGTATTGCTCAAAACGATATGTTTTTACTTATAAATCGTTTTTTGGACTAAATCAATTCATTTATTCTAACTTACGTTATTGTCCTCGGTTTATTTATATTTCAGTTGCATGGTCTTTCTTGAACGGATCAGAATAAAATTGGCACAATTTTACAAAATGCTTTACACAATCGCGCACTTTTAATTAAACTACTGATAGTACCAAGACTAACCTTCAATATTGTATAATTCCATTATTTTTATCACCTTGTTCTCAATCTAAAATAAATCTATGTAAATGTGTAAGAACTGTGGTTGAACTTGGCTACGATGTAACGACCAGTTGTATATCTTATTCATATTTCCATGCCATTTCATCCTCACAGTTTATTACCAGAGTGTTGGTTTGATACGAATAGCTATTGCGAGCTCAGCCGTTTCTTTATGTGTTTATTTCTACCTCGATATGAGTGGCAGAACTACCTACCATGTGAACAAGCAATGAGTGCAAATATTTGCTGGTCTAGCCATTGTTATGTAAGAAGAAAAATAATTGTACTGTTGGTGAAAAAATGATGGTTCAACGTATGTGATTGATTTCATTTACAGAGTGCAGATGGTCATTCCCGTATTCTTATTCGTGTTATACAGGTAAAATTTTGCTACTCACAACACAGTAATTAACCTCATGTGTCTAAAAATAGCTGTAAAAGCCCACAGCACCCTACATACGTGGTTGTTAGAGGTTCTTTTCCCATTACAAGAATTTCAAAACTTCTTGTACTGCATTACCGCATTCTCTGTTGGCAATATCTGCTTATAGCACAACATTTCTGTGATTGTTCAAATTTTTTTAAGTTGCTTACCCCCTATGGTCTACAAATATGACCTGGATAATGACGAGGTATCAGATACCATTAGTCAGAAGTATCCGGCGCTATGCCAATTTTTAAAATCACCTGACAGCAATCTGCTGCCAGAAATATTAACATATTCTTGCGTAGCAGTTTTAAAGAAGCTCATAAAAACTAAATTTACGAAATTAGCAGAACCAAAAAATCTGCTAGTACTAATCGAAAAGATGCTGCTCTATAATTCAACGACAACTATCCTCCTAATTAATCTGTTACGATACTGCGATAGTCAGCCTTTTGTTGGCGAATGGATGCGCAAGATCAGGGTCAAGTACGGTGATTATTTCCAGCAAACGTCCTTCCCGTCGTTTTACAGCTATGTAATCGATGATGACACCAATAACAACGTTCACTGCGAATATTTCATAAAAATATCACCACAGCTGGAGAGCTACATAGGATTCTTCCTGTTAGCGAACAATAACCATAATTTTTACATCGATCTACTTTTTGAGAAGGAAATAATGAACAAAAAAATCGCCAGGAACGCTTTAAATTACTTGGTTGGCCTGGACATAAATGATAACCTGATAATGCTCTACGGCGCAGTGCTAAGGCGTTATAACCTTGAGGAATATAGCGTGGATTTGAAAGAAGTGAAAAACGTTCTAGATGATATAAAAAAATTGAATATAAAGAGATACTTTGCCATTATAGAGAGCGGTAAACCCTTTATAAATAGGGAATTTTACCACATCACTCTTCTTCAATCCAAGAAATGGGATGGATATTTGCAAATGTTGTTCTGGAAGATTCTGATATACCAAAAAATAGCATTTGATTGGACAGTGCCTAACAACAGCAATAACAATGAATTTGGAAAGGATGCGCTTATGGTACTAGATAACCTTCAATAATTTTATAAGATCTAAGCGGATTGGCAGAGTTTCTCTCCGGCAGAACCATTGGATAATTCTCAAGAGATGGTTTATGTTGATGGACTTTCATAGGGAACACGTATCGATAAAAGTAGAATTACGGTGAAGGTGAAGTGCGTGTTAGGAAGTGTGTTGCTTTGGCTGTTGATGTGTGAGGATACAAATAAACGACTTTTAGAGAAAAAAATTAGGTAGACCGCCAATTTATGTGAAATTATTGAAAGCTCTCTAGCATTCAAGCTTTACATCTCATATTCAAAACTATTTGTACGGTAATTATATGTGTGGTACATCCTCATACAATTGTACCTTTACAATGATAAAGGTGCTGTGTGTATAACCTTGGAGTAAAGTAAAAATATGTGCGTAATGTTATCATCATATGGTAGTTTATGGTTCAGTGTAACCAAAGAATAGAACGTGAAAGTGAACGAATTAGTGGAATGCAGTGGTTCACTGTCCTCCTGTGATGAACAAATATGAGAATATAGTGTTGTACCTCCTCGCTCGGGGTAGTAGGTTTGCGAGTACCAGTCATAGAACTTAAGGTATGAACATGGTGATGATTGAACTATTGTTAGTATTTGAGTAGCCTCTGAGATAGTAAAAGTTCATTATTGATAAGAATCCACTAAATGGTACTTAATTGTTCCTTCGTTAAGTTTAACCAGCAAACGAGATGCGAACAACTATCAAATAAAAGTTCGTATCGCAGTTGATGCGAGAGATGCCTTTGTTGTATTAAAAACAGCAGATAACATTTTTATAAATTATTGCAGTATATTTGTGATGCGAACAACGCTTGTGATGTATTGGTAAGTAAAAATGATCTATAAAATGCTCGTGTTAGTACTCCACAAAACTTTAGCATTCTCTGCGGGTTGTTGCACCCTCGCATCCCCTGTGCCGAAATCAAGTATTTTTGTACAGTTACCTCATGTGCAACCTGTGCCTTCCTAAAATATTTTGGTCTCCAGGCCCATCTTGTAAAGACTGTACAATTCTTTTTAGGACTGTTACGGTCCAATTAAAAGCTTTACTTGTATGTGGGTGTGCCACACAGGTATTCAACTCAATCGGTTAAAACATAATCTTTCATTTTAACGCTGAATGCATCTTTTCCTAAAAATGTATTTAATTATTGATACCATACAGTTCTCCTACCTCCACTTAATACCATTTTCTCGATGCGTCAACGGCATTTACCGTGGCTTCCTCAGCTTTTGGTTCAGGAGTCAAGTCCCAGTCTGTAATAAAACACCCCAGTGCAAGAATAATCAGCATTGAATGTAACGCCTTACAGTGTAACAAAATTGATCAGCTCATCTAACACAGCAATAAGGTACAAACACCAACGAAGGATCAGCTGTACGCTTCCCTGCTTCGCATGTATAAAAAATGTTTATAAAACTTGTACAGCCAACACCAACATACTTTTTCTGTATATGCCTTATTTATTCGTCAATATCAACGACCTCAAGCATTTTTTTACGCCTGATGCCCCTAAAAAATCGTATTGATGTCCATTCCCACTCACCGTTTAACAGCTTCTTGGTACTGATTCCCAGAACGAGCGACAACAGGTACTGGAGGGACAGAATAGCCGATAAAACGAATAAGGACATGCTTGCAAGCATAACAACAATTACTACTACGATCTTGAAAGTGTTTAGCTTGATGAGAATCTTTGCAGAAAATATTTTAAAGGTGTCGCTCACTATCAAGAATGCAGAAAACGTCATAGACAAAATAAAACCGAGAAAAATGTTGAAATTGTTTTCTGCAATACACTTGTTGAACCATGCACAGTGGTGGTCCCTGTTTACCAGGCACATATCACAGAATCTGCAGTGTGTTATGAAATCTCTCTGTAGTACGAGGCATTTCTCGCAGTAATCGTCGTTGTAGAACGAGCTGCTGAAAGTGGTGCCCCGCTGTACGGGTATCTTTCTGGTGTACAGGACATTGTCTCTCACGAAATTTATACTGCTTGGTCTGTTATCGTTCTCTGAATGGGCCTGGCCTGAATCGATCCGCAGGATGATAAACAGCGAAATCATGTTTATTGTCATCAGTGCAAGCTGACTAAGCTTGATAAGTGTACATTTCTCCAGGGCATATATGTCGTACAGAATAATGTAGTAGAACACCAGGCACAGAAGCACAGTCAAGAAAATATTTCTTCTAGGTAACATTTCGTTGTTATCATCAAGTAATAAGAACTCATCGCTTCTATTAAACATGTGTGTCTCGCCCAGTGCTGCTAGAATTTAAAGCGAAAACAGCCAATTAGAGCCTATCTTTGGTAAAAGGAGTTAAAGGAGTAAAGGAGTTGGCGGTAAAGGAGGTATTTTCCCTTGTTGTATCCCTGTTAATAAGGAGAACTTCCTCTCATCACGCATTGCTGCGACAGGTTCATCGAAAATTGCTAAAAATGGTCTAAAATGATTCGTGTCATGGCATCCGCTTGAAATCATCAATTCCGAAATTATTGCAGGTTGTTGATGAAGAAATGATTCAGAAGCGTGGTTATTTTGCCGTGTGTATGTTTGCAAAGTGTGCACCGGAATTGTCTTGATATTCGTTCGTTAACAAATTAGAAATGAGGACTGGCGTAAATTGAGACATTGTTAGGCAAAAATTACTTTACTAGAATAATTAAACATGTGTTGCGCGTGGTGACCGGTGTTGTCGCTGCACACCCTAACAACAGCCAAAACATGCTTTTGATGTCTATTTTAATCGCTGAACGTTTTCTGCACCACAAAAATAAGTTTTTTAACTTTAGGACACTTTTAGAAACTGTTTACGGTGAGTAACGCGGCCGAGCCATCGTGCATGTTATGAGTTGCACCCCTAACACAATAATCACAGGTAAGTAAATGCTCTATACATGTACGTAATTGTGATAGGAAGATGATTTATTTATTGTTGACATGAAATGGTAACAATTTTGACACCAATACATGGCATTATTGGCGGTAACATGTTGAACACATCATATAAATAAAATTACATCCAAATTAAAAAATTTACACCAAAAATATTCGACAATCAGCACGTGCCACAATTCCAGATCCAAAGTACTTGTTGAACTGTTCATTTTGTTCCACACCAGTATCAAATGCTCATAATTTGGTGATAACGCTTTGCACTATAAGCCGTGTAGCAACAAATTAGCACTTTTGCATTTCTTTAAAACATACGAATAGAATCATTAGCTTTTGCTCTGTTCAATTTTACCTGATATAGAAATTTATCTGCAACCGTGCGTTACGGTCATTAATCAATTTCAATATTTGTTTGTGCAAGGTACAGGTATAAACTGCTGAGCTACCATTCAAATATTTAGCAAAAATTCTTGCATCTCATAGCCGTACATCGAGTAATAGGCAATAAATACCACGGTTATGGTTCCATTTCACATTGAACCACTGATATTGATTATTTGATTAATCCTTATTTGTTATCAAAACGATTTGTTATATCATCGAAAATTTGTACTGGAGAAATACGCATTTGGGTTTTTAAACAGCGATCGCTCCCGTACCAATAGGTGTTTATCTGCGATGATTGTTAACGTGTGCGGTTCTAATACCGCGACAAAGCACCAACCACTAAAAGTTTACGTTCTGTGTGGTTCACTTGAATACGAGTTTCGGAATAATTCCGTGTGTAAGATTTAGTGTCATTCTTGTAGTTTGAAGGAAAGATATTTAAAAAAGTTCGGGCTATAAATAGACGTAATTTTTACAAAAAGGACGTTCTGCTCCGTCAATTTCATCACTGTGATTAAAAATGCAAACAATACGAAAATACGTTTAAAGATTACAGCGTTATGGTAAATCAATGTTTACGAATGCTTAGCATGTAATGGCAACGTATTGAGATGGTTTATCGGCCTAAGCCTGTTATAAATGGTTCCTCCACATCAACATTAAACGAACTATCTCTTACAACAGGCACAGCACGAAGACTAAGCCACTTATATTTTAACTTCGGTGCAATTAGGCCTATTATAATAGATGCGGTCCTTTTACCGCTATGGCAGTACAATATTATAAATAATTCATTCGAATAAAACCGCTTAAATGCTAAACAGAACTAAATTTATTTGTTGTCTCAATTCTTCCCTCAAGTCACTACTAGTAATTTGGAATAACAAAATCAAGATTTTTATCCCCGATGGTAAACAAGTACAACATCGAAGAAGTTTTAGAAAACACAAAATTTACCAACGATCATGATGTTGAGCTCAATTTTTTGGAAAAAAGAGTTGGTATCGGGTACAAATTTTCATATTCAAAGTATAGCGAGAAATTGGTAAAACGTGACTTAAAAATAAAAAGATTGAAGGCTCAAGATAAGAACAAAAACATGAATGAGATTAGTAGTGAGGAAACTGAGCCGATAACAAAGATGGATGTTATTAGGAAGAGGTTCAAAAGATGCTAAATTTTGTGAAAAATCATAAACAATTGGAGTAATATTCCTGCAATATAATGATTTTACAGTTTTTAACATGAATAGTGTGGTTGGATACCGTCATAGAATGTTTAATTTGTATACGCAAAAAGGGGAAATAAAACTTATTGTTATAGATTGTTTGAAAAAAAATAACAAAACATTGCGGGAACGGTAAATAGCAGGCGGCGTACTGAGTGGAAGGTGCCGCCCAATATTTGCGATTGGTTATAAACTTAAGACGAAAAGTATTTAAAGAAACCATCTAAGTAAAAGAATGGACAGGAAGTTTTATCAGTACGCTTTTATTTTAATTGTGCTAGTTATGCTATCTAATGTGTATAGGGCAAAGTGTCAGTCAACAATCGGGAAAAAGCATCAGAATGAGGATGGTGATGTCTCTCCGGCTGCAGAGGAGGGGCAAGGAGCACCATTGGCTAGCGAGGAGAAAAGTGAGGGCGGTGGTGTAGGTAACTGGTTCGGTAAAAGTAAGAATAAAGGTTCAAAGAAAGGAAAGGAGTCGTTCTTCACGAAATATAGAACGTACATCATAATTTTTTTGGTTGTCATCGTAATCGCGGTTATAGCTGGTGTGGTCTTTGCTCTTTTCAAGAAATAAAGTTTATCATACTGATTATGAGCGTTTTGTAGTTTAATCTCCGGATAGCATCAAACCGATTCTCCGTTATATTTATTTTTATAATAACCATTCCGCGGTGTTCATACGCAATCTTTATCGCGTACCTCTTATCAGTTGAAACTGCATGCTACCTCCCAGACAACAGAATCATTCCTTATTTGATTTGTACAGCTACATATGCCAATTTTTGCATTCTGTTAAAGAAACATACACTATTACATCTCTCTCTTTTATGTTTAGGATGTACTTTTCGATACGGCTCACAGGTTTAATTTGAGTTATTCAGAGTATACAATAAACGAATCTGATATTAATTGCAAAATTCTGCTTCACTTGCCAAGAAAAATATTTTACTTGAAGCGCATAAAATTTTGTTATTGCTATAACATAATCTCAGCATGTTTTCAACATTATATGAAGCATTGGATAACTGCTGATGCCGGGATAAATACCAATAAACATCCTATACGAGTGATTTCATGGTCACCAATCCATTTATCAAATAATTAGTAGTTAAAATTTGCTGACCAATTATTTGTTAGTTGTATTCTAAATTTTCATTTATTCGAAAACATTGACAAAGTTTTGCAGGATGCGGAGCGCTCCGTTTGTCACTGAACTCTTCCAGGATTGTTTATAAAACCATATTTATAATATTTCCTCATATAGCAACATTATCACCAATTGTCAACAAATGCACATTCCTATTCTTGTATATCTAACCATTATGGCTCTCAAATTCAAAGCGCACATCCATATTTCTTAACATAACTTGCTTTGCGATATGTTGCTCGTTGGTGCATTTAGAAATCTTTCTAATTTACTCTACAAGTACAGTTTACAAGGATTCGGACATGTCCAACCAACTATTTTCAAATTAACAGTCTAGTACTAATCTAAAATTTGAATTTATTCTTATCCTTTAGATGTATACTGAGCGGTTACAGTTTAATTACGGAACTATTGCTGTTGAAGCTAACAGCCCTAAAGATTGCGGTATATGATCCATCTTATTGTTTGCTAACATGATAAACACCAAATGCCTAAATAAGTACCGTGGTTATGGCCACAATTATAATAATAATTAATAGCGCCAAAACAACTCAGAAACTATATAACTGTATGTTTTTGCAATTATTTATGAGATTTCTCATATAATTACTACGGCAAAATCATTCATTGAGTGCTTGATCGCAAGTATCAACCAATTATAAGTTCTTCTGTTATAAAGGAGCCGCTTCTGATTCAGTCTTACGAAGTTCCAATGTGCAATCATCCAACGGTAGAATGGTACTACACATGTTAATTTTACAAGCTCTTATTATTAAATTGAATAACTCATTTTAACTATTCTACAATCTGCGAAAAATGAAAACAACGCAAAGAATTGAATATTCCACTATCTTTGTGGGCATAACTGATTTATTCACCATATATGGCAGTTTTAATAGAAAATTGTCCTTATTTCCAAATATAACCACAGAGGCAACGAATATCGTTGCATAGCTTTTTAATTAACAAAAAAACAATGTTTATGAAGAAACCACGTTTTGTACGAGATAGCAACCATTTTTGTTTGTAACATGGTAATTTGTAGCGTTGCAACATTATATGCTCATGTTTTGTTCAATACACACTGTAAGCTATTACAAGTTTCGTTGTGTTTTTAGCAATACAAAAATATCGAAGAGTCGTTGTTTCACTTATCACCCGCCAATAAAATGACGTAATTTTAATAGGTCAAAAACTAATCTTCTCATCAGTACAGAAGGAACGCTTATAGATTACATGGTAATTAAATCAAGCTAATGCTGAATTTTTTTCAGAAATATTTCCGTAAATCAACTCTGTCTATTACAATGTCTGTGGTCTGAGGTGATTGCCGGTGTATAACATTTTTTTGATTGTTGCATTACGGACGAAGTAAACATTCATGTTGGTCATCTGCGAATTTTCGATCATATTTTTATTGTAAAGCCTAACACCACGGAGTCATCCCCGTAAATTGCACCATAATTACACGCCTAAATGGGAAATTTATTGTGAATTAAGGGTTACTAATTGTTTAGCCTGGCAACAAGCAGGAAAAGGGGCACGGTGTGCGGTTCAATAGCTGATTCGTCTTGTACATGACTGCAAATATGTAACCATGTCACAATGATAGTTTTAATGCTCAAAATACTACTTGGTATGGAAGTACAGTGGGTAAATTCTGTTTGATTCTCATATGTAATATATTCATGGTTTGAGCTCATATAATGGCCCTACAACAGTCAAGATAATTAAACGTACTACACTTCCAGCATATGACACTGTTAATATAATTAATTAAAAATATTTGCTCGACATCACACCATCTCATATATTGTCAAGCAATCATCACATTAGATCAAACACACGTTTTCGTTCTAGTAAAATTTTACATCATAAGTTATACATACCTCACATAAATATACTTTGTTATATTTCTTAAGACAGCTTTTCAAGTGTCATTTACACCTAACAGCTCTCAATTGCAGGTACGTGTCATTAACCAATAACCATTTTTGTACAGAAAACTCCTTTTTCCCAAAATGTAACAAATTATTAGGATCTGTACTTCAGGCTTGTCGACAACAACATAGATTCGCAAATTGAAACTATATAACATATTTGTGCACAAAACTGAATATTTTTAATCACATTAAGTTGCTAAATTTGATTAATCGCAGCTTCTACTCAATCAGAATTTAATGAATAATAAATGTACGGTTCGTATCACGAGAGCAAATAATCAATTAGTTTCTTTTCCTCGATTCAAATGATTAGCCCACTAATTAAGAAATCAGTGATCAAATTGTTTCCAAACGTATATAAGAAAGAAGAATTCAGCATCTCATGAGGATTAATCATTCATCTTTTATTTTCATGCTAGCTGTTCTATTAGACCTGTTCTTGGTTTGTGTAAGGGCAGAAGCTCCTCCAGCAACCAAAGCTGAGCCACCAGCCAAGGCTACTGGAGAAGATCCTAAGAAAGAGGGCGAGGTTGCTAAAACAGATGAGGAGAAAAAAGAGGGGGAAGAGTCACCGACTGCGGGACAGGAATCAGCTGATAGTAGTGGTGAATCGGGTTCAATGTTTGGACTGTTGGGTGGCCCAGAATCGGAACCGGCCGATAAAGATAAGTCATTCTGGCAACGACATAAGAAGACCATAATTTGGTGTATTGTGATATTCTTCGTTGTCATAATAGTGCTGGCAATTGTAGGATTTGTTCTAAAGCGAAGGAAATCGTAAATTATTAAATAAAAGTCTTTCTTGAAATTGGAAATGGAGTAGTAAATATCTATTAGTCGTTTATGCCGTTCTAAGCAATATTACATCATCTTTTGTACATAACAGGATATCTGGTACAAAACATCTTTAAATATTCGGTTTTGCTGTTTCTAGGGAAGATCACGGTGTAGAATGCATCTACTTTGACAAGCTGGATTCTTATATTGAGAGTAGTTTATTTATCATACCACATAAACTAAACTAGGTTTGTGAAAAATACTCAATTCGTATTATTTTAATGTTTAATTTACGCTCAAGATGAGTAGGTGACGGTTTTACTGTTCATGAAATTGTGTTCAATAAATGTAGTTTCACAAATAATTTACTTAACGCAGGAAAGCAGTTTTATCAGCGTTGGCAAAGAGAGATGTCTTTAAACAATTTTATATCTTTGATATGCAATTTTGTATCATATAGGGCTATTTTAAAATAAATAGTACTAGTAAATAATATTAAATAGTGCCATGATAATTTACACAGGTTCATAGGCGTAGAATGGTTTAATTGCGAATTAAATTAATGAACACATAATTTGGAATGGCCCAGCGAGATACAACATTCCTGGGAAACATTCCGCATTACTACCTGACCACCCTTTAAAGGTAAGCGGAAAGAACCAAACTACTCCTGCTCGGTTTAAAAGTAAATAAACGTACAGTTTGTGCCGCCAAGTGCGAAAAGTTAGCTGTGCAAACCAGTGCGTCAGTGTTTATGTTTGATAGAATACACAATCACACATGAATTTGAAATGTTTATGTTATCTTTGCCCACGCACAGCTTTTCGTTGAGGACACATTCCTATTGATTGCAGCCCTCCGCTTTTTCAATACAAACATTCGTACTTTTTTCAGTAAAGTGTTTGTTTGCCATTTGATTGTATCATGGCAAAAAAGTTCTTCTAGTGCATCGCTTGGAGATGAGCATCTCATTACGATCTTAATTAATGAGTAGAATAAAGCTCTGCGTTGAAAAGCTTTAATAAATAATTATACTGCAAGATGTACTGAAACGAACAAGTACAAAAATTAAAGATATCCACTAAGACATAATTGGACATATCTGTGTTAGAACAGTAAATATTTGTTGAACTCGATCTCTCAATGTAAATATTAAACGAAATATCTTTCAACGATAGCGGCGCTGCTTCTCTTTAAATATTAATGTACGCAAGAAGTCAGGGAAATACACCTGTTTCTGATGGAACATCTGCTGACTTTGTCGCTAAAATGCATTACACAAATGATTGATGTTTGGATAGCTCTAATTTAACCAACAAATAATAAAAGAACTGGCCCAGCTCTGTGGCCAGCAATCTGCTACAATTCAGCACAAACAATATTTTACAGACCAAAAATAAACACATCGTTAATAAAAAATTTACAAGTTTAACTGTATATGACAGTTACTCAGGAATACCGTATAATCGCGCTAACAAAAGTTTTATTAAAAAACGGATAATTCACCCTCTCGCTCTCTTTGGGACACTCCTTTTCGACCCAACAACAGCAATCTCCTCAAGCAAAACCATTCCTGGACAGCTGACCGTCGCAAACTGTATGACAGCATCCTCACCCGCACTTTTAATAGTCTCCAACAACAATTTAACTCTATCTTTTTCGATTTCATTGCAATGTAGAGTCTCCATCTCGGTATAGCCGGTCGATATCAACGGATCGGCATAGATGCAGTCCTCCTCCTCGTCAAAATCGACGAGCACGTAAGTCTTTTTCACTGGTATAACAACGTATACTTTTGATCCGCCCGAGAAACTCATTTCGGCTTTCAGGTTTGTTCTTATGTTCTTTCCGGATATCATCACCTTGGCCGCTCCATGCTTCCCTGTTTTTACCTTGGTCACACTTGTGATCCTAACGTAATCCTTCCTGTCTGCATCAGCAACAATGACTGTCTTTTCTTTGAGCGTGTTTGCGTTGACAGATGAATCGAACTCCTCCTCACTTATCGCCATCGAGGGGTAAATTTTTTTTATTTTTAAAATACATTGGAATGATAATCCGAATGCACAGTAAAGATTTCAGAACGCACATATTACAGAAATCGCTATAAAAAAGTCGTTTGTCTATCGAGAACACCGTGAAGAACGTGCTTTTAGCAAATATAGCAAAAAATATACTTCCTATTTTCCAGTTAGTTTTTGAGCTGTTTTATTCGGTCTAAAAATCGAGATAGCTAAACATATCCAATCAATTTCCGAATGAAATAAAAGCTTTTTAAAAGCGTGTTTATGCTTTAAAAGCTTACTTATCGAGTGTATTCTTCACCCTTTTTGGTACAAATACTTCTTGGTCCGTTTCTTGAAATGCGGACAAAGGGCTCTCTCATAACCTTCATGTTCCAAAGCGTATTTCTACCCAATAAATCAAATACTCACTTCGATTTATGCCTTTTGCCCTGTTTATACGACTTTAGGTTAGCACAGTTTAATCTTACCAGATTTATACCAGTAATCCACCAAGTTTCAAATTAACCACCCAATCACAGAAAAGTTATATGTCCTATCACAAATGCTCCTTTCTTTTTGGATAGCACTATTTATATTGAAGCTTTACTGTCGTAATTGAATCTCTAAAAAGACCAATATTTGTCTTTTTGGTGTAATGTTGCAGTACCCTTAAGATGTAATTGAAATAATAAACAACTTATCACCGTTAATCTCGTAATACCTCGAGATCAAATACAATTGTCCGAGTTACTTATTTGAATTTTAAAATCGATGCCTTGCTATAAGAGTACTATCTTTCTGCATATTTTTATCGATTCCTTTTTTTGGCTATGACGATGACAGTAAATGGTAATTTATTTGCACATTCTAACGGGATAATTACAAAAACTGAAAAATCAACCTGACGACAAGTATTTATTGTGGATTTTATCGGCTAAATTATACCGATATACGCGTAATCCTGGCCAAAGATACGTAATAATCCAAAAACATGAATGATACATTAAATGGCAGCATTGGTTTAATCAAACGAAAGAAATATCACGCAGGAGCGAGTAGAACTGCAATTTTGACCCTACGCCTTCGAATAATCTCAGCTGATATTTTGAAATACACTTCAAAATCTCGTAATTGTCCATATTCTTGGCTACCCGAAAAAAGGACACCAACAAATCTTGGGGATCATAACCATCCTCCCAAATGCAGTCAAATTTACTCAACGCCTCTGCCATTTTATTCTTAAGGAGTAAAATTATGATGTTTTCTATTAGCTTAGGCGAAGGCTGTCCAGTTATCTTTAAAATTGCATTCTCATCCACTTGTTTTGAGTAGAGAGCGGATTGCAGAATGTTTATCGCCTGCCGCATATCACTGTCTGATAGAAACAAGATGGTATTTAGCGCTTCTTCCGATAAATTCAAGTTTTCGTTGGCTACAATCTCGTTCAATCTGGTTTTCATATCTTCGTTTTTTATTTTGTTGAACGTGAATATGGCACATCGACTTTGAATAGGCTCTGATATCTTTTGGATATTATTACACACAAGAATAAACCTGCAATCCCCGGTACACATTTCCATGGTTCTTCTCATCGCCTGTTGCGCAGCAACCGTCATAGAATCACACTCATCTAAGATGATGACCTTAAGACCCGTGCTCAGTCGCATCGAAAAGTTTTTTATGGTTGTTCTTACGGTGTCTATCCCTCTTTCATCACTTGCATTCAACTCTAAAACATGCTTTTTATCGCTTACGATTTTTTCGCCAATTATTTTGGCCACTGTAGTTTTACCGGTGCCAGATGGCCCGTTAAATAGTAAATGTGGCATAGAATTGGCATTCAAGATGCTTTGTATGGATTTTATCGTCTCTTGGTTTCCGACTACGTTATCAATCTCTTTGGGTCTGTACTTTTCTGTTAACAGGTTTTCGAGCATGTTAGGGGCCCATAATTCATCGTTAAACACAAAAAATTGAGCAAATCAAAAATTTTGTCGAGATTGGGATGTGCTGCACAATTACGTTGCAATACCAGCTAACACCAACCAATACAATATTAATGGTTGGTACAAACATATCCGAGGGCACTTGTGCACGGAACAACGACATTTATCTGCAACGAATTTTCTCTTATTAATGTCCTGTTAAGTTGTTTGATTTTCAAACGGACATGCAATTTAGAGCAATGTTCTTCCGTGACTGAAAACAAAACTTATAACATGATGTATTATGTGTGCGCAAAGAACCAAACAGAACACTTCGCAAAACTAACAATGAAGGGAAAAAATGGGCGCTACTTCGGTAATTAAGGACATCAAAAAGTTACAGAATATGTTAAATTTAATATTAGTTCACAAAGAGGTGTTAATAAACAATTCTGTAGGACCATCTCTCTACACCCCATTATCAACCAATTTCGATATAAAAATTGGTAAAACTCCATAAGAAGAGAAAAGAATGAGTAGTATTTACTTATTTTGAGTGGAAAAAACTTTGATTCTTTTTCTGATTTACTCCAATCTTTAACAAGAAAAGTTATTAACCACTGCAACATTCTCAGTGCCTTGCATCAAGTATCATTTCTTACAAACACAGAGTTAAGTCTAAATTGCAAACTCAGTTCAAAAAAAATGACATTTATCAATAACAAACAAATTCCCTCCAAACAACGATGACCAGCACTTATAAAGTTGTACTATACCTGCTATTTACCACGTCTTTCCCTTAATACCATATTGCATCCTATTACAGGACACCTGGCATTCTTGTCCTTCTTCATGTAACCTAAAACTGCATTTCGTTCCATAGCATGTCCGCAGACACTCTCCCATCGCTCACGGATTTTCATCTGTGTCAAACAGCACATATCACCTGTTTTAACGTTTTGCACGACAATGTTATCGTTTTCAAATAGATCTTCGTACTCTTTCGACTGCTTCACCCCTTTCTTGAGTTGTTCCAGATCAAACTCTCGATCGCACGATACATTCTTTGCCAGTTCTTGCACCTTGAGCGAAAGATACAGTTCTTCGTCCAGATAATTATTTTCTGTCATATATTTCAATATTTTGTTGATTGTTTTTCCTCTCTCTTCCAATAAATCATTCATCCAAGGGTATGTCTGGGTTAAAACAAGATACAGTTGCGGCATCCGATATAGGAGAAAAATATTCATTAAAGCGATATTTTAGGATAAAAATAGCGAGAAAAATTGATAACTCCTCTCATACAATCAAGCCGTATATACTTGAACAATCTAAGAAAATGTGACAGTTAAGATATATTGATATTCAACCTTCTGTCAAAATAGAATATTTACAGACCTGCGGTGTCACATATTTACATTCTGGCAATTCGTGCGCAGCCGTGCCACAGTGCTAGCTAGCCATTCTCTGTCGAGCACGTTCTGGATGTATCAAATATGGTATGAATTAATGAACACGCTTTTTATAGTAAACAAGCCGTTTATGAACTAAGGACTGCTACCGGTGTATATGTTCATAGTAACGCACATTGAACTTCTAAAATATTCGATATTCGTTTTATTTCGGCTTTAAGAGCGAAGAAAAATTGCTCAATTTATCAACAAGTTAATAAAATTAGAATTAATTATGACGTTTTATCCATGACTGGACAACAATGTGATTTAGACGGGTGCTTGTTGCACGATGATGACTCATATTATGTTTTTCTCTGTTCATAAAAATTAACAAGACTGTTCTACCTGTCCACTCCAAGAAAAAGATGTTTGTAGAATAAAGAAAAATTTTTATCTTAAAAGCCATAGTTTCGCTATCTCCTATGTTTGCTGTGGAATACCAAAAATACGAAGACCGTCTGTCACAAATACTCTCTCAAACGGTGATATTTGCTTCGATGATAATGAGTTTTGCGTTTTTGAATGTAAAACATTTAAGTAACAAAAGACCCATTGTATAAAATTCAAATGCGCACGATTGGCCGAACAAGAGTTAAGAATAGTTTGTGTGAGGATGGGGACAGCATTGTTCGTCCTTTAATTAACAAAAGAGGCGATATAGGAACTGATCTTACTGCAATGGAAGGAAACAGGGCGGCAGCTCATGAGAAAAGCAACGAATTGGACGATGTAATCAATGAAAATACCGAGTCTAAGAATGAAAGGAATATGAGCAAGGCACCGAGACTAAAAAGAATCAACTTGGAACATCAAAACGGTAGCACCGATAAAATAGAGAAAAATTGTGCCATGACACATGATTTTGGAGATAAAGACACCATAATTTTGGAAGACTCCGATAAAAAATGCTGTTTTTGTGGGAAAATTTTGAGAAAAATTTTTGTAAAATGTCTCAAATGTGGAAGGAAATTTCATAACAGCTGTTCAAAGAAAGGGAGTCGGATAGTCGAAAATTACGAGGTTATCTTCATATGTAACGATTGTAACGCGTGCACAGAATGTGGATTGAATAATGATGACGACACGATGCGCTGCTTGGTTTGTCCACAAATATTCCACAAAACGTGTACCACCGCCCAGTTCTGCAGACCATGTCGAGAGAAGTTATACCTGGGCGCTACGCAGCTAGAAGTAATGGCCAGATTTGAGATGAACATGTTCAACAGCTTTGTGAGAAGCAAAGGATTTATGAAAGACGAGCGAGGACAACGATATATGGGCAAGGAGATAGTTGTTTCCAAGTTGTACATAGGGAGCAAAAAGCTTTCACCGCAGTATCTTTCGCCTTTTATCAATGTGTCATACTCTATGTATGTCTGCGAGAAGTGCTTTTCCTACTTCAAGGAGTCTATTTCGTTAGAAAGACACAAGTTGAAGTGCGATATGTGTCTACGCGGTAATCTGGTGTACTCCCGCGGAAAACTGAAATTATATGAGGTGGATGGTGAGATAGACACAATATTCTGCAGGAATCTCTGTTTGGTGGCAAAGTGCTTCCTCGATCACAAGACACTCTACTATGATGTGGAGCCTTTTTTATTTTACACTCTGTATGATGACAATGGCAACTTTATAGGGTATTTCTCCAGGGAAAAGTTCTCAACAAAGTTCAATTTATCGTGTATTGTCGTTCTGCCCTGCTATCAAGGAAAAGGTTTTGGCTACTTTTTAATTGATTTCAGTTACTGTCTGTGCAAAATTACTAACAAAAAAGGGACACCAGAAAAACCTCTGTCTGATCAAGGACTCGCAGTTTACAAGAAATACTGGAAATACAAAGTTTATAATTATATATCGAGGATTAAAGGGTGTGTATCCGTTGAAGTTATTTCAGAAGAGTTGGCCATGACTCATTCGGATGTTGTATACGCCCTAGAATTACTCGAATTTTTGAAAAAAGCTGATGGCAAGTATCGCATTGAAGTTTCAGAAAGGATCTTTGTCGAATTGAAGACATGTGATCCTGCTGGTATTATAACCGGTAATATACGGGTTTTTAATGAATAGAGATTAGCCAGTTAATAAAGAGCCGCTTTATACCCGATGAGCAGCGGATGCTGTTCAATGGACGCTTCAATAAAATTTATTTAAAATGGTATTTATATGCGGTACGATGCAGACTGTCTAAGTCTTCGGCCACAATACATGAACTGAGATAATATAGCTAATTCTTAGGACTCAGAACGCAGTTTTATTCGGGCAAATGCAAAGGTATAAGAACCCTGCTGTACCTAATTTGGTGTCTGCACTGTTAACTCTGGTGTGCATGCATTCAATTGGTAATTGGTGTTCTATTCCGGCATTTTTACCAAAATTATTATTAGCGGTGTGTTGTATGGAGCATTCACCCTACCTACCAACATTACGTAGCTATGAAATAAAATTTTGTTCGTGATTTATAAACACCGCAGTAACTTCGGTGTGCCTGTGAATTAGGTAAACTGCGATTAATCCATTTAGATAAGTAAATTTACTCACACACCACCATTATTCATTATCTGTTAGCTCATCCATTTCGTATTGGAGTTGCCGCAGCAACGTGGTAGGTAATATCTCAGGTTGTTTACAATGCTGCTTGGTGTTATGGGAAAGTTGTCAAAACGATGCCATCTTAATATTCCATTATAAGTGGCAAGAAACGTAGTTTATGGCATCTATTTCTATTAACTACCATGTCTATAGGTACATGTATGCCATGGTAAATGAATTAGAACATATCCTGCTCACATCATGTTCGAGCTATGATCTAATGAGAAGATCGCACAATCAACTTACAAAAACATGTAGCATGTCGAATGCACCACATAAAGAGTAACTGAAAGGATGGAGAACTGTTTATTAATAATTTTCGCTCTTTTAATTAATTATGGTCTAATTTATTTAAACCTGCCATACTAATTATAGCAGCCAGCTTCACTCGAAGGATTACTTATCTTTAGGATTTTGACAATTTTCTTGTAAATATCATATCTCTTCTTACTTTTCTCCACATTTTGTCCCTTGCACTCCAAAGCACCATTAATTGCCTTTGTGGTGGCTCCAAATTTATTTTCTTTGACTCCCGGTGCAGTGGCAACTCTTGTTTGCCAGTACCACACCGATGTCTGCATGGCTACCTTTGGATCTTTACCGACCATATCAGGATTATCGAGTAGTTTAGTGCCCATGCCAATGCCTTCACTCGCTGCTTTGTAATTGGCCGCCCACGACAGTTGGATGAATCCACGTCCAAAATAATATTTACCTGGCTTTCCCTTGCCATCGTCATAATTTTTACCACACTTAGCAGGATCTTCATTGCATCCTTTCTCTACGAGTTGCGACAAGCCACCAGACTCGTGCATGATTTGTGCCAGGAACATCGCTGCATCATTGGTAGTTTTAAATTTGCCAATCTGATCTGCGACTGCCTTTACGTTCGCATCTGGTGCTTTATATCCAAGCTCACTCGTAATTTGTTTAATTTGGCTCTCTGTTATTTTGGCATTACCGCCACCGCCCGATGGCGTGCTTCCTGTGTCACCAGCAAGTTTTTGACCCTCTTTGCCCTTAAGACTCGAGTTTATGTTGTTTTTGCCTGCACTGGCGAGTGGGGACTTTTTTGCCGGACTAGGTGGAGTAGAAGCTTTTGCACCTGGACCTGTTGATGTTAGACTACTAGCTGGCAATGGTGTTTTACCATGGCCAAGTGGTGCTTTTGGGGGACCACTGCTCTGCTGTGCAGAACTGTCAGCCCCGCCGGCTTGTCCGGGCTGTGATGCCCCTGAACCTCCACCCGGTTGAGCAGTGTTATCGCTACTTTCGCCTTGTGCTGTCGGTGACGCGCTTCCACCGCCTGTATCAGAACCACCGGTGGGTGGCTGACTCGAACCGTTACCGGCTGTTGATCCCTGCTGGCCTTCGCTACCCGCTCCTAACAGGCTCTCACGATCAATTACAATTGCTCTTATAGGCTTTGTATCACGACATATACGGCATGAATCCTGCAGGTTTTCATCACAACAAGGCAAATCCGGTCTTTTAACGGTTTTAACTATTTCCTGTATCGTTGATGGCTCATCCCGTGTCTCTATCATTATCTTCTCAGTAACTGTCTTATATACAGTAACAGTTTTCTCCTGTTTATCTTCAGGCGGTTTAACTGACTCTTTTGGAGGCTCCGATGGCTTTGGCTGCTCCTGTGATTTTTGTTCATCCTGATTGTCTGTCTCCGCCTTACTCTCCGTATTCTTACTATCATCCGGTTGTTGCTGCTTTTCACTTGGCATTTGAGCTCCTTCCGACTGATCAGATTTATTCTCGGCTGCAGACGAATTGCTATTAGGTATATTTGATTGGTTTTCTGCTTTGTTCTGATCACTAGGTTTGTTCTCTGCGCTGTTTTGGCTTTCTTGCTTTTTTTCTTCCTTTTTATCAACGCTTTCCTGCTGACTCGAGACTTTCTTCATTACTGATAGGTCAGCAGGCACGCTTTCCTCTCCTTTGGCAGGTGAACATGTAATCTTATTGTTATCAAGCACACAGTTACTATTGGTAGGGCAATTTATCACAACCCATTCGCCGTTCAGATCACACATTTTCATGGTATCTCCATCACATTCTGAACTTCCCGGTAAACACAATGAACGAATTCGGCTTATAAGTTGCAGAATCAGCATTACTTAAAGAATTAGTTGCACGGTCCTCAAAACTTTATGTTTTCTTGTAAAACAAATCTGTATGATAATGAATTTGGAATATATGATACGTATGTTTTAAAGTAAGAGGATCACTACCTCATAAGTTTCGTATGATAGCTGCCATTACGGCAAATATGCGCTGACACTACGTTATTTCTTATTTGAACGAGCTTTAGTGCAGCATTCCTTAACATCATCGATTACTCAAATACATCACATCTCGGGCCCATACGTGTTAAAAAGAGTTGAATGATGATATTGTGGAACTAAGGAACTTATCTCGGATATTATGATGCTTTTATGGGTCATTATTATCATGATACAAGCATTTTCTATTTTTCTCTAAGGGTCAAATAATTTACTTTCCAGAACTGATCAATCAGCTTTCGAGTTGTCTTTTTATTTATATGAAATAGCGTTAAGCAGGTTACTAATCAAATGCGAGGTGCCCCTCAGTAAACTGGTCTACAGGAAAAGTAAATACACAGTATAATACCAAATTTCTTGCGGAATCAGGGTACATGCGGGCTGTTTTGATTGTTATTCAGGTTTAAAACCACGGTTTGGGCCAACAAACGGTTAGTATCGAAGAATAACGCTATTTATTCATAACTCACATTGCCAATTAAAACGTTGCAACATACGTTTGGATTGATCAACGAATCGGTATGTAAGACTTAATCTCAGGTCTAGTGTCACAAGTGACCACAAAGAACGCACAATAATTTTCATTAATGGAACAATCACGTCGTTTCTAAGATACTGCCGTTGCCTTTAATTCCCTCCGAAATGAACATTTAATGTATTAAATAATTTGCTTTCATCATACGAAGACTTGGAAAGGAAATATGCAATGAAGACACTAAGCAATCGGATAACAACATAACATTCTCACACATACGTTGTTTTTGAACCGCGTAATAATAGCTTTCATTCCTACCTCCAGTTAAACACTCGCTCAACGAAACATTTACCAAATCGATAATACTCTGCCATTTGATCGGCAGGTTCGAACTACCCGTGATATTAAATGATAAATAAACGCACTTTTGATGAAAAAGTGTTTAAAATACCAGACAACTGCGGCATGAACAAAGTTACATTAGATAAGGGTTCAACGAGGTGAAAACTCGATCCAATAACCACTCAAACAAAATTGTATAAATGCCATTACTCGCAAACTCAATATTGGCACTAGCTAAGTAGCGTAGAGAACATTTATTTGTCATGTTCAAGTGATAGGGTCGACTTAAAAATTGGTTTGATCTGCAAAAATGATTCCTGTACGTTATAGAAGTGATCAATAGGTAAAGATGCACTTTGTATCTCCAATTTTCTTCAAAACGAGCAGCAATTTGTTAAACTTGATGTGGCCGAATCATTTCGGGCCAATATAGTATTGTAATGAACTTGGGTGAATTTTTACGTATATTAATACGCTCACATCCATGATTCAGTAAATAATTGAATTGATTACATCGAGCCAAATCTCTCGTTTTAACAGATAGACTGTGACACGAGTTACTCATTCAAAACTTCTTGCCAGAGAGACGCTGTCTCTTGTTTGACTAGTACACGTACTTATATTGCTTTAAAATACCTAAGTTTCTTTTTAATTTTGTCAAATAAACATAAATCTTTTTCTTCAATTTTCTTCTCAGATGGCTGAAAAATACAAGCACTCGTGCGTGATATCCAAAAAATAGATACTCGTCTGTAGTGCGATATTCTACGTGTTACAACGTGTTTAATATCAAATATCCTTTTTAACCACAGGTAATAAACGGTCTGATCTCAGAACGGCGTATGAGTGATTGCCATCTCATTATTCTTGTATAACCGCGTTTTATACCACAAACAATGTGATTATGGTGTATTTTTTGTCATTTAAATGACCACAGCAGTTTTTACTGAACAAATGGTCCGTATAAAATTTTTTGCTTTTTCCAACCCACGATGAAATCGCTTAAAACAGCCAGGAAGTTCGATTCAGCGGAGAAACGTGTGCAGCCAGAGAATCTGGAGAGCAAGCACGACGCAATAAAGCGCCTCAAACTTAAGAAGGAGCGCACTAGTAAAATCAAAGAGCTTAAAGAAGAAATCCATTTTAAGACTGGGAACGAGTACTTCTTCAAAATGAACTCATTAAGACAGGAGAACGATAAGCTCGTAAGAATTAGCAAGTTTGACATGGCCGAGAGTAAGCGCCGGGTTATAAGTCTGAATTTTGAAATAATAAGGATGGAAAAGAAGCTAAGAAAGACTATGCCTGTACTTAAACCAGCTAAAATTGTTTTTGAAGATTGTCCACAAGGTGTAAAAGTAGAATGCAGACAAGAACTAAAACCTGATAAAGAAAGATTGGCAACATACAGAGATTATCTTGCCAAGCTGTATAAGACGAAACAACAGATAGAAAAAATGATAGAAAACACAAAAAAGCAAAGGGGTCAGCGATGAGAGAACGCCTCGAATAGCAATTGGCTGGTTCGACACATCATGTTCAGCGTACAATATTTTGTTCGTACATGTGTTGCCGGGCCATTGGCCCGCTGGAAGTATCACCGATTTAGATCAAAACCGAAAATTCATAATGCGTATAACAACGAGCAAATACATGTTTTGTTGTATATGAGCAGATAACATGCTTTTATGATTGCACCGACCCATTTGCGATACCTTTTCATGATGCATTACGTTTCTCGTAATAGTGGCACTCTTGATCGTCAAAACTGTTGCACCAACCTCGTAGTTTTTTTACTGAAATACGCTCATTATTTATCTTCTCACACATCAACAGCATCCAAACAAATATGGCACGATCTCATGGCAACAAGAAATTTAGTTAGACATTTTCAATGAAATGGTACATGGCCTCTCGTGCCTGTAAAATATTTTGCGTGTGTGCAACACTTTTGGCTCAACGCCGGTATCAAACAAAAAATATTGAGCCTGTGAAAAAGGTTGTATCAGCCACCATTCAGAAAACAATCCATTAAAAGTACCTTAGTATTATTTTACCTATCATAAGAACTGTTTAAAATCGATCTTCATGTTCTTTTATCACCTCTTTAAGAATAGGATGATCATTATTCCTACAAAACGCCATGATATCATCATCAAGAGCGTTTCTGTACTTCCTGCCCATCATCATTATGAGTCTATAAAAATTGATGCCGGTCTCATCTCCGAAGAACGACTTGATATAATTCTTAACAGAGTCTACATTTTTTAGTTTCCTGCCCTTACACAGCGTACAGGTTAGGATAATGATGTGATACTTGCACTTCTTGGACACAAGAAAATCGACCAGCTCATCAACATCATCCATTCTATTCTTCATAATGGCCCTGCCTATAACGATACACTCATTGTTCGTAAACGTGGTCAGCAACTCCAGAAATTGACATACCATGTTCTCTCTCACAATTCTACACAGCTTTTTAAAATACTTGGGTTCAAGCTTCTTATTTTTGTTGATGTTTTTATGGAAGACACGTACAAAATCTGACAGTCCATCTATTCCATCGCCACGTGAATTCCTGCTCATGAAAATGCAAAGGGCGCCAATAAAAATTTTTATTTTAAAACTTTCCTCTTCTATGTTCTCTCTCGCAATCCAAAAGCATAATCAAATCTCCTTCTCGTACCGGCCCCATTACAGCCCGTTGCAAGGTCCGTTTCTCCTCCAGCAACTCCAATTGACAAAGCGTGATCGGTCCACCTGGTCCGCTTCGTTCAATACGCTTGATCACCTTCCCTATGTAAACCTTCTCAGTCATGATTCCTGGGGTAAAAATTTTTAGCAATAAAAATTTTGTTGTTGAACCACCAATTGTTAATAACACCTCGTCCAGGTACCGGCCCGCTTTGAGCTGAAAATATTTGCTCTTGTATTTTTGTAATCTTCGAGTATTCGAATTGATCTTGACTTTGATCGTGCGCGATAACCAGGTCAATGTTGTTATCATCAAAACAAAATGTTTGGTTGCACAAATGAGCGAATATCTTATTCTTTACCACGTATTTTGCTAGTTGTCATTCTTATTTCGATACAATCCAGGAAGAGCACCGCATTTTGCAGCGTTTGAACATTTTATCTTCTTTCACTTCGGCAATATTGAAAGAAGTACTTTGTTGTCGAAAATCAATGCTCGTTGCGAGGAAAAACAGAAAGAATATGCAATTTTGGTTTGATTTGAACAAATAGTTGCGCTACTAGGCAAATATATTGGCTTCAAAGTTTTGTTCCGTAATTCTTTGCTAATACATCACATCTGAATAGCTGTAACTAGTGATTCAAGCAAAAAATAATGGCTTTCGTCCTATTTTCGAATAACGACAAGTAGCATTGTGCACAACAGCACTTCCGTGTCCGTTAACATTAGTTTCATGAATTGCTACCACTACCAACGTTTGTTGGCTTATAGGACCTATTTCGCAAGTTTATTTGCAATGAACATTCTACTACGTTTCTCGCTTGAGATGCAATCGGTATGACCAATATACTGCCTACCACGTAAGCAGCTGCAAAACTCATTCTCTAACACACGATGCCCAGTGGATCGAGTAATATTAGCACTTGGTGGTAGACTCCGTGCTATAAATAAATTTTCTATTAACCAAGACAGACCGATTGCTATCTAAAAAATATTAAACGAATTAAACACACACAAAATACTTAAATGACAGTTTATAATGCCTAAATTAACACTTTACGCTCCTCGAACGTGCGGTTCAAAGATAATTGGATTAACTTTTATTTTCAGCTAGTCGTTCCGTAGTTACCAAAAGTCTTCAAAGCCTCCTCCAAACCATCATTACGATAATATTTTATGATTTGCAAATAATTAATTGAACTGTAAAAACCGATTATAGCTATGCACAGGGATATTTTCAACACAATGTCATCAAGAAGAGCTACAATAATTAACATTCCGAATTCGAATAGAATATTCCACTTCATAAACAATTGCGTGGTAAAAATTAGCACTAATATAAACAGAATTACGGCAGATTTCCTTGAAAAAAGAGATTCTGTTCTTTTCAAGAGGTTAGTTATCAGTACCGCTCTGGCCATTATCGTATCGAAAAATGAGTGTGGTACGGAATTATCAAGCGATGTGCGGGATGTCATTTTTGATATTGTTGGGGAATACAAATGGATATAACAATAATCGCACAGAAAGAATAGAAATACGAGTTAACGAACGGACATGTTTCTACAAATGGATATAACAATGATTTGAACTGTTTCCATCATATCACACATCCTGTTGGTGGTGTTATAACACCTTCAATTTCTTGTTGCTGAAAGCAGATTTTGCAAGATATCGCACTAACATATGGATAGGAGATAAAACGGTGCTGAAGCAGTTGCATCGGTACATTCTTACGGGTGTTTCCGATCCTAGGTTAGGAGATGATTAATCATATAAAGATGTTCAACTCAGAAAATAGTAGCCATAACCATAAAAATGAAACTACTGCTTTATCAATACTCATTTTATATCCATTTCCAGAACAAGTAGACCAATTTGTATTGACCTGAATAAATGATCAGCTATACCACTACCACTCCTGATATGCAACTACAATTTGCCTAATATTGTGTTTTAGTGGCCCTGTATGCTCTTCAAAGGTGTGTCTACTTACATTTATACTATCCTTACATTCATTTACACTCCTCGGACCTAACTTTTATTCGGGTACCCGTTCCACGAAAAATCACCCAAATCTCAAAACTTTTTCGCACCCATCACGCGGATGCTCGAATGCAAATGGAGGGAGTGCGAATACACGACGGATAATCACGATGATCTGGTCAAACACACGAACAACCACACCAATGAGTCTCTGACATGTCTCTGGGAAGGCTGCAAGAAGCGTGATCCGCACAGCACCAAGTACACGCTGCAGGCCCATCTGAGAAAACATACCGGTGACAGACCGTTCAAGTGTAACGAATGCGACAAGACCTACACGCGCTCCGATGCACTTAATAAGCATATTAAAAGACACGAAAAAGCAGATTCATACAACAAAGAGCTAATCTACCATATAAACGAACTTAACGGCATCATAGATAGATTTAAGGTAATGATCACGGAAGAAAGAATGAAAAATAACGCGCTTGTAATGAGCAATCAGTTCATAAGAAAATTAATTGCTGACAAAATATTAATACGTGCCAAAAATGAAATAAATGGCGTAATTCACCACACAAACAAAGGTTGGGATGAATATCTGCAATAAAAATGATGTTTAGTCTATGAAAGCGTTATTTGTGCAACGATCGCTTTGTTATCGGATCAGCCACACATAATTGTCCTTTCTAGACGTGCAATTCCGTAGACATTGCCAGCACTCTCAGTATGATAGTAATGAACCATAGTTCTACATGCTGTGCTATCTTTGCCCCCTCAGCCTTTCCTCTTTCTCAAATTTTTCTTTTAAATACGCTCTGACCCGTTTAATCGAACTCTTGGCCATGATGGCATTAAACGTCACATTCCTACCAGCGATACTCTTACACTGCTGCATAGCGCTACAAATCTCATTCTTTATTGCTCGCGGAACCTTGAGAACGATTATTTGGTTGTGCAGCAGAAATAATGTCAGGCATACGTTGTGAAAGTGCATCATACCAAAGGAACCGTACATTTCGTACATCTGGTCCCTAAAAATATTCAGCAGCGATGCATCACTCATCTTCAGCAGCGTGTTATTGCCACTCTCGATTTTGAAAATTACGTAGCGTACTTTTTTTGTGGCCATGGGGAATGACAAAAATTATAATTTTGGGCTCGGTCCAAATATTTCGTACATACGGACAAGCGCAAAGGCAGCGAATAAATGAATGTGTTGGCGTATAGTACCGTGTTTATTTGGATGTTGATGGTGTGCAGGAGGTAAATGGACAGTTTGAACAGTAGAGTTAGCGTGTTGCATAATATGCTCACTTGGTGTATTTTATACGACCAAATGGTAGCAGCATCGAAATGATTGTTTTAGATTTCACTTTACACGCGGTGCTCCGTCAAAATTGTAGCACCTTCGTATTTGCGTGGAGTAAAACGTTCTGTCCGATGAAAATACTTTATTTAGTATTAGCGTAAGAAGGTAATAATTTCATTAAAGCACCACTCGCATGTAAATTAACGTGCTGCCAGGAATATACACCGGTATAATTTAAAGACTGCACTGCCTGCATCATGTTAAAAATATTCATCGATAGAAATTTCTGAGGAGTTCCTCTGTTGCTGCCACCTTTCCGGAGTAGTAACAAACCATTAGTAAGTTGGGGAACCGCACCTTGAAATACTCCACAAAACCATCGGGAAATGATTTATATATGTGCCGTATCTCACTTGCTAGCTCTTGGTAGTGTCTGCCTTTGTTTCTTATCACCCTCAGAAGACCCTTCAGGCCATTAAAGTTGTATATTCGGTGCATAATGAGCTCATCTCTTATAACCTTGTCCAACATATTCGCCCAGTTCCCTGCAAACACTTTGCTCTTGTTACGTTCTAACCTGCAGAATATTTTGTACGATGTATCACTTTTATTCTCCAGAATATCGCTAAGCGTAGCGTAGAAATTGTACGTTTTCTCATTGTCCCAGAACGCAGGATGTCTCTCCACACTGCCAATACCAAGCCGCTCCTTATAATCGTTCTTCAGCATGTGATGCATCAGATCCAGCAAAGGTCCCTTCACGTTGCTATTCAGTGAATAGTTATCGTGTACCACGTTGTCCTCTATTGCGTAATTATCCTTGTTGAACGGATGGTGACCAAAAACTGTGGTGTGTAACATTACTGCAAGTGAAAACACGTCTGCTTTTTTGCACTTTTCCATGTCCAATGGTTCATCAAAGCTGTTATACCTAATTATTTCAGGAGCTCTGAAATTTTCAGTTCCTAGGCCGAACTCTAATTTGTGCTCATTCGGGTATCGTAGTACATCAACATATCCTTCAATTCTTTTCTTGTAGCCATTGCTAACGTTCTCGGTATTGTCTGTGTGCTCGTTATCAACCAAATTATCATTCGTATTTACAATATTCGCAACATGTGACTCATCATTCGTTCGGCTTGTCTGAACATGTTCCTGATCAAAAAAACATTCCTCAAAGTTACCGATGAATACTTCATCATTTTTTACGAAAATATTCACAAATGTTAAATTACAATGTGCGATATTTTTGGCATGCAATTCGTGCACTACTCGTACAAGTTTCAAAAATAAACTGAGCCAATCCTTGACATTTTCACTAAATTTACACGTGTCTGCCTTGGTGTGTCGAACCGTGCTCTCAAACTCGCTCACACCTGGGCTGTGTACGGAAGCATACGTGTTTGACGCATCCTGTTCATATAATGCGTCATCACCGAGTTCGGCATCGTCGTTACGCGTATTAGCCTCATTGCTCACGGTTTCAGAGATTGTGAACGTATTATCGTGAGTAATAGAGTGGTTCGTGCTGTTGGGCAGTACTTTTGCTTCCTCATCGATTCTCTCTTGCAAGCTTTTGCCACAATCCTCTACAACCAGCAAGAATTCGTGCTTTCTCTCCTCTCTATACGTGTATTTAATGAAACACGGCATGTCAAGCATCTTCATGATGTGCAGCTCATTACAGTACCTTATGTCCTTCTTGTTATGTATTTTTACCAGCACATTTCGTCTGTTGAACACGCCACTAGCATATTTTACTCCCTTATCTACGCGTAGCACTCTTTTTACCTTTACATGGTTCTCCCTGCGTAGAAACAACACCACTATAAAAACCGTTGTCATCAAAATTGCCAAAATTTTCAAATCTGTACACACCCTGTCGTTCATGTCTGGTGCTTCTCTCAGTATCTTACGGAAGAAATACGCCTTTTTAAAATTTTCCAATTTATAAACATTCTTTATCGGTTCGTACACCGTAAATCGATTCGGCCCATCCTCAAAGACGTCATACAAAACTTTTACACCTTTTTCAACGCTGAAAAACGGCGCACATATGTTGTAGAACTTAAGAATGCGCGTGTACCTGCTGTTCACATCCATAAGCCGGACGTATAAAACACCTATTATTACGTAGAGAGTAGTGCCACTCGTCCTTATATCATAGCTGATATTGCGTTTTGAGGCCGTAATAAGTACGTTCTTGTATAAAAACGGCTGATTGATAATGTCGCTCAGTCGTGGGGCGAGGTACATAATGCACTTGTTTTCGATGCAATATATCTTTCCTGTCTCTGTGAACCCAAAGCTGTCGATTTTCTCTTTGATTTTGGCACACACCTTACCATCCGTGTAATCCTCAATTTTACTGAGCGTATTCGTCGCCTTCATCAAAATACTTGGTGTATTTGACCTAACATCGGTATCATCCTCGTTATTTTGATCGGCAATATCCTTCATTTCATCGTTAGCATTTATAATCTCCGTCTTTCTTACAAGAGTATTTAATTCACCTTTATTCCCAGTTAACATGCCAGCATCTCCTACATTGCCGTAATTTTCCTCCTTCTTAGCGCTAATAGACGAATCACTGGCGTGATCGGTAATATTGTGATCAATTTCATTTTTCATCAGATACGCTAGTTCAGAATTACTCCCAAGGACACCCATTCCTACGCCTCTGTTATCATACTCATCAACCATACTGCTTATTGAGAATGACCATTGCTCATTAACGGTTTCATCCACAAATATTAGGTTATTATTGAATGTTTCAAACACGTAAATACCGCGAACGTATTTCATGAGGAGGAGGAAAAACATAGCGAAGAACGGGGTGCACATAATTCGCAGCTCAAAAAGAAAAGATAAATTTGATGGTGGAAATGCAGCAGAACGGCAGTACTAAAAAGTTATGTGGTAATACAATGCCTATACTTGTCTTTGTACAGCAGAGAAAGACGAAATGGTGTGGCTCCGAGCCTCTAAATGTAAATGATATATTTACTGAATGAACGGCAAATCACTTTTATACCAGTACGAGCAGGGCATTGAAAATGATTTAAACGGTGCATTCCAAATATCATTGTCGCAATAACTCATCAGCAGAATGGAATTTAAGCTTTGGGAGGTAAAAGGTATTAATGAGGTACTGGAATGCATGTTTGGCAAATCCTAGATAAATATTGCCTTATGGACCTAGAATAATAAAAAATTTGCTGACAAGAGATTTTACCGATCAGTCACCTATTCTGCTTTTGCGGCACCACCATGAAGTAATGAGCAAATTATGATCCACATAGGTATATTCAGTAAAATTATGTTAGCACCGCACATTCACAAAAATCTCTTTTTGAAAGTAAGGCAGGTAGCTTGTTACTGGGAAGAGGCTACAATCACAATGAAGATAAATTTAGCAAGAATTACGGTCTAACATTCTTCAACAGTGGGCATTATTGCCATACTTGTATGAAAAGACCAGCACAGCATGCTAATTGGTAACAATCGTTCTATTCAGCGCAACTACCGTAAAAGTAACTTACTTGAGGTATTCTGATTTACATAGTCATCAATTACTTTCGTTTCGCAGAAAGCATCACACCGCAAATTTGTCCATTCTCTCTTCGACAGAAAAAAATGATAGCACTCCGAGTGCAAGGGCGATATTTCGTATAGAACAGGTGATCAAGAACGTATTGGCACTCCAGAAAATAGAAAAGCTATCCTGAGTACGTTCAATTGTACGAAAGACCATTAAATTTAATTATAGAGAATTATGCCAATCAAAAGCGGAGCATTTTACTTATTCCTATTCAGACCGAGGCGTATGCATTCGTTGTTCTTGTCAAAGTCTATCATTCCTCTGCTAATCAAATTATACACAATCTTAAACATGCTCACCCTTTCCAACCCATATTTTGCTTCCATTTCGGCCAGATATACCACCTCATTCCGAATCAATTCTATAAAAAGGTGCTTTAACACGGTATTGTCTGAGCTGTAAAGCCTATCCAGCAAAATTTGTCTTTTCTTCATGTTTTTATACAAAAGATAGGACCGGTGCTTGAACAGATAGTCTTTATTAAAATTCTTGACTATGTCTTTGTACTTGATGAATGGAGAGTCCGACAAATCTTTTCTCACGTTATTAAGCATGTCAACATACTCGTTGATCATATTTACATCTACGTTCACTGCTTCTTTGTCATTATCACCAATATTTCCGTCAATTTGTGCATTTCTGTCCACAAATATGTTCGTATAATCCTTTTTTTTGACATCGCTCGTGGAATTGGCTTCATCAAGGTTAAGTGTCGCGCTTTTTGCGTTATACTTGAATACTTCACGTCTAAATTCGCGCAATAAATTGTACTGATCCTCCATATTTGCAATGGCTATTTCCATTCTGTCTATATCATTTTCTACGCCTTTCGCCTTCCTGATCGTCGTTTCATCTATTTTTATTTCTTCGATTTGCACACCAAAGCCCAACAAGCCAAGCCTTAGATTTTTCAAAAACAGAACTAACTGATCCAGCTGTGTCTCATCCTCAAACATTTGCTTTGTTGGCTGTGGCAGATCGAAATACGAGCATATTTTTGTGAGGTCATCTATGGTGTCAAGAGGAATTTCCGGCGGTGTTGTTGATGTATAGGTAGGTTTAAATTCTGGAATAGACAATCTCTTGATCTGAGCATTCGCAATTATCGTTCGCAGGTCCATTTTGCGAAGGGCAATTTTATTAAGCATTTTAGGCTGCTGATCAAATTCTGAGTTAGTAGCAGTATCAAACACGGGAACATGGGTGATATCCTCTGCAATATCGCAATCGCGAATGCACGCTGTCCTCCTTACATCCCACACTGATTGCTGTTACAAAAGTGCATTGTATACAAAGTACGTTTTTTGTGTTACTTCATGATAAGCAGAATACTCCAAACCACCGAATAGTACTGTTCAGTTTTTTGATCTGTATCTCAATATATTGCTAATACCATTCTTTTCGTTCAAATTTGTTCAATTTTACTCCCAACAAAATCATGGCGAATGACTTGCAAACTCCCTTTTCACCTAATCTTGGCACATTAGATTTTTCGTATCTTGGCAAACAGGGATGTGCGCATGACATCACCAAATGCAGCGCTATTGCTGTAATAATTTGTCGCAGCTGCGCTTCGTTAACTTTGTCTGCGGCTTAAACTCATGCGGCAACCCGAACCCCTTGACTCTGAGCGTTCTATGGAGGATGACCTACAGCAATTTTTGGAAATAGAACGGAAAAGAAAACTGGTGGTTGAAAGAAGCATACAAGAACTTATAAACAAGCGAAAGATACTCAATGAGACGATGCAGCAGGAGCTGCAAGAGCTCATGAGGGATACGTACACTGTGCAAGAAACTGGGAACGCATACAGCAGAAACACTTCCCTAATGGAAGATATAAGCAGGGAATTACCGATGGACAATGAAACGGTGCGTACTGATGAGAAACTGCCAGTTACACACCCTGGTGTTGAGATCGTGCAAAGTGATGAAATTGATGGCGTTGAACCGCTTAATATCCCAGTAAATATGCCTATTTCAGACTATTTTATCAGAAAATATATTGTAACAGACAATTACATTCAAACTGAAAGAATATTGAACCTGCAAAAGAATAAAATAACGAACCAGTCTTATAGACAGCTAAAATTAATTGTAAATAAACGAATAGGACAGGTAACCACCGATTTAGATCATATCAATCTAATCACAGGATTCCTCAAACAGTACGATAGTTGTATTTTCTACGAACTTCTCTCCATAAAAATCATTGAGCAAGCAAAATTGCAAGTTTCCAATTGTTTTGAAACTTACAAATCGTATGGCTGGCTCCTCAACAACTTGTACACACCAAATTTGCACTCACTCTTCTTGGTAGGTCTGGTGTGCAAAAAAGAGGAGGGCAAGTTCCTAAAAAGTATGTACAGCATATATTTTGAACTTTTGAGATTACGGCGCATGTGGCATGAGGCATATAACTTTTTTGCAGGCATGCTAAACGAGATGCCCACACCCAACTCCTTTCACGTGGTCGAAGCATACTTGCTGGTACTTGGAAAGGATATGTCTGCAATTTTTGGAAAAAGATTCCGAGGCATCACCAACTATATAAGGGAAGAATACTTCGCTAAGGGAGATAACAAGCCATGTAAGGTAAGGATTGAAAAGATTATCGAGGGTTTATGATGATTTGAATCACCTACACGCACTGATAAATAAATGTTTCGGTTGTCAAAGAACAAACGATTGGGCTGATGCTATGAATGGTAAAAGCAACGTGATAATTTATGTTCATGTCTGAGCAATTCGATCGCTATAGAATGCCTTTGATGATGAGGCAGCTTGACATGTGCTAGTGTACCGGTAATCAAAGGGTTTGTACTCGTGCACTAGGTATTGAAGCGAATCGTATATTTGATAGGTCACGGTTAAGCAATCCTAGGTACATCGAACAATTTCATAGCTAATAAACGGCAACTTAGCTATAACACCTATTTTAAACAGTTCAGCTCTTTTCTACTAAAATTGGTTTATTTACCAACTCATACTACGGCAAAAACGGTTTGAATGAACATTTGGTCTTTGCTCTAAATATCACAAGTTGAAGGGCTGATTGCCGCTCTGGGCCTTGTGTGGTAGAATCCTGACAGCAATGGAAAATCAGTGGCAGGGAGTTATACTGTCTGATAGCAGTTGCAGTGGCTGGTCCGTGATAGGATAACTAATTTACATCCGGTTATTACGGAACCCCTCTGCCAATGTCACAGCTGTCCCTAAAGAAGAAGCAGAAACTCCTTTCCTCGTACAAAAGATTTCTTGAATCCCTTCCATCGACTCTAGAGCATCGAAAAAGGATACTACATACTCATTTTGGCGAGTTTCTCGTAGCAATACCAACAAACGAAGACTTTGAAAGTAAAATTAACGCTATTATAGGCAAGATGCACCCGCATCCATACATTTACCTGGCATCGAGCATCGGATTCAGTAAAATGACTTGGAATAGAAGTGTAGAGAAAATTTTGAACCAATTTGAGCTGAAAATGAAGCTGAAGTATCCTACGTTAAAAAACTATTCAAGATACGAAAAGCTTAAGTATTTGTTAATAAGGTATTTCGATAAGAGAAAGGAGTTGGGCCTACAAAATGATCCTGCCATCTGAGTTTGATGTATATACGACGAAAAATTTTTACCCTCTTTGACACTTGAACCGTAATACTTTGCGTTAAACAATTTGTTCCGTTATGTTTTTCATATTTTTATAAGCCGTTCGTGTCATACCGAATGCGAACAGAGCCTTCAGTAGAAGCTTTCATTGTGCAAATTCACTCTTTCACGTCACTATTTGAATGCGATCCGTTGCAAACAACACCTGATCTGAGTGATTGTGCCATTGCATACCCGTAATGGTACGGTGCAAGGGTTTTTGTCCGCTGTGATGATAAAGTGAAGTATCTGCTTATTTTAACTATTACCGTAAAAACTGCGAATTTATTTACGAAATAAGTAACAAAATTTGACACGTGGTAGCATCTCCAGCACTGAAAGATTCCTGATCGTTGAGCTGTTATTTTTTTCGGTGGTCACGTGTAAATCTTTCCAGAATATATTTGTTGTGCGGAAGAAGGTAAACAATATTTTACTCCGCGGTATTTTGTGCCTATCTAATACAAATAAGCAGATTTGTGTACGTGCTAGTAGATTAATTCACTTGCCGCAAACTTAGTGGAAATTGTACAGTCCGCCAGTTCTGTACAGGATCCAAGCGATCACTCAAAGATCGAGAAACCCTAACTCGTTGTAACGAGCGGTGAACGGTGACATGTACCAGAGGAACGATCCTTAAATCCGTTGAAAGCAAGTTCTGAACAAAGATCAACGGTAACTACCGGTACTCTCTTAGGAAGGTCCCGTAGGTTACCTCATAATCTCAGCACAGAGTTGTATAAAGGCGACTGGTGCCAAAAACTATAGGCGGACAGCTCCTCAAGACACATATTGAACAGATATGTATGTGATTGTGTTAAAAACTATTCATAAAAAGTATGTTTATTCACCTCTCTTATACCATGCTATCCGAATATCACACCTTCTGGTTTGCTAGGGCAGATAATGACCATCAACATTCAAATCATGGAAATTGTGCGATACTATCGCTGTATATGGTAACAGCATGGACCTCCGGCACTTTATTCGTTCATTTTTATAAAGTTTTGAATTTTTTTGTCCGAATGGGAGGGTCTACCAGGGAAGAATTCACTGCGCTAATCAAATCATACAAAGAAATCGTGAAGGAGTACAAAGACAACATCAACGAGGCAGTAGAAAACATTAGAGAGTTCAACAATATTGTCACAAGATAAACCGATAAAAATAAAACTGTTTAAAAAGTTTTTAATACCACGGGAGTTCCTCGTTTCAAACGCACGGTTTTGTTTGCATTGGATGTTTCTATCTGTGAAATACCCTCCTCTATCAGTCACGGCCGGCAGCAATTTCATTCACCGCATCTCGCTCGTTCACGTACCTGTACTTTCGTTCAAAATACTCCTTTACGCACTGAACATCCCTTCGCAGGTATTCGCCAGCTCGTGGATCAGTAACGGGTATACACTGAGGAAAATCCACCATAATTATTTGCTTCTCTTTTATCAGCACATTGTACTCATTAAAATCACCGTGCACATATCCCATTGAATATAGTTCAACTACCAAGTCCATTAGCTTGTTGTAAAAATAATCAAGGTCATCCAATCGAGTTTTCACCAACGGCTTGCAGTCATAGTACCGTGTGATCAAAACGTGTCTATTGCAGCCCACAGGTACAGCGATGTTCTCGCTTGTCAACGATCTTAATATCTTGTACTCTCTCTGGCAGTACATCATACTACGCTTGTACATGTCCATCTTTATATTGTCCCGGTTTTCTGTTTTCCGGTACGATGTCCGACCGATTCGATACATTTTGACAGCCACAAGCGAACCATTCATCTCGCCCAGATAGATGTCGCTTTCTTTTCCGATGTCGATCTGGTCAACAATCCGGGACAGTCCTTTTTTCTTGAAATGTGCTAGTGCCAAGTGATCGTATCCCTTGTATGTTAGAACATACTTCTTGTCGTATATTATCATTCTTTCCTTCAGCAAATCGCGCAAATAAACATCCTGTTTTACGTTTCTGGCGTTCTTTTCCACCTCTTTTAGGATTTTAACGTGTTTTTCGTTCAGATCTTTGAAGCACTTCATATGGACAGAAAAAATATTTTATTGAAACAGAAAATCGAAAAAGGTACAAAGTGGCTCGCAACGGGTAGAAAAACGGTGACAGGATCAACTGCCGTGTTGTTACATCCAGTAAAAGCATTTTTATCGCATCATCATCCATCTGTACTGTTGCCTAAGATGACCAGTAAAGAATTCAGAAATATTTTTGTAACAAAACAGAAAATGCATTCGTTTCCGTGTATCACCCACGAACGAATGCATGTTGCAAATGTGAAACACGCCCTGAAACTAACCTTTATTAAAAAAACATGCGTTCAAGCACGCATGTTTCCGTTCTTCCTTTTAGTATTTACCATCGATACGCCAGATCATTCGGAGATATATGAAAAAGAAGAGGAGTGCGACGATAACAGCTTCAATGAGCCGGGATACTGCAAGTTGAACTGTGGGACGGAGGATGTGATCGAATAAATCTTAGCATTTAGTTAATCTTTATTAAGTAAAGCGGAATGTGCCATGGCAATAAAAACTGCACAAAATAGCGTTTTCAATCATGAATGGCTGGTCAACGCCCTCATTCGTCGATATATGCGGTATAACTGAGAATAACAGGCATAATTCCCGTGACTAGCGCTTTTCCTAGCATTAAAATGAAATGCTTGATTTTTCCTGCCTATACGTTGGTAAGAGACAGATTTACTCGGTCATTGCCTGTACTTTACATGGTCTGTAGCATGTAAGCGTATTTATCAGTCGGGTATCAAGATCACCACGTATTGATCAGCACATTTGTTGTGTTTATTGGCGGTCTTGCAGCTTTCAACAGCATTATGGGCCGTATTATTCGTTTTCCTCGGCTCAAAAAAAACATGTTTTGACTTCAAATGTAATTCTCATGCAGGGCACGTCATATGTGTCATACAGCACGTACCTTATTATTGGAACTGAGGTGCGTGAACAATGCCTGAATTTTAAGTACGTCGCTATAATACCATAATTGACACACATGCCGTATAAAAAAGGTAAAACGCACATCACACAACTCAAAACACTCTACCATAAAAAATGCACAGCTTACGATAGAAAACAAAAACATGAGCATGCTGTCCGTTCTTGCCCAGCTTTTTCGTTTTGTTCCGTTTTAATTAAAATTTATCAAAAAAATTATTTCCGATCCCCTGTTCAATGTTGAATCAAGAAACGGAGCAGATACGTTCGCAATCTATTGCCACAGGCATCGCTTACGCAGAATTAAACGAGTTTTTTGCCAAGGAACTGATGGAAAGTGGTTACTCATCGATGAAGTTCCTTGCACACGAAGTGCCCTTAAAAATAATCATACGTGTCCTCAAGGCCGATGACCTCATCAATGAGAACCGTTATCGGCTCAAGCAGATCACGTCTCTTGTGAAAAAGCGTCTTAACAAGGACGTAACGATTTTGGTCGAGATGGTTAAGGACAAGGGACTGTGTCCGAACGTGCAGGCGGAGTACATACGAAAGAAAATGTCAGAGGGTCTTACATATAGAAGAGCCGTGAATGGTGCGTTGAGGACCATTAAGGAGGCGGGTGCACAGGGCTGCATCATTATCGTGTCGGGTAAGTTGAAGGGGCAGCGGGCCCGATCGCAGAAGATGATGTGGCAGACCAACATTTACTCGGGTAGCCCAAAGGAGGAGTACATGAGAGAAGGTAAATCAACTGTGCATCTGAAACAAGGAGTGATTGGCATCATTGTGAAAATAATGCTGCCGCACGACCCCGAGGGCATAAGAGGACCCAGACGCGAAATGGTTGACAAGATCAGGGTGCTTGATGTGAAGGAGTGATCGTTAAATAAATTGAGTATTTAACGATTTGGCTGGGAGTGCAGCTTTGCCATTGCTAGTACTCCGATAGAAATTTTATGACCTCAGTTTTGCGGTTTATTTTGCACACAGCCAGGCCTCCTCTATCTATCTGTGCTTTAAATGTATTTATTTTGAGATCGACCAACGCTTATAATGCCTTGTTCGAGAAGTGCTTTTGCCTGTCATACCAGGACAAGAGATTTGACATGCTGATTATTGCCAAGACCAATCGAATTACGGGTTTGTATGTTTTGTTCTATGCACTTTTCATCGATAAAAATTTTTGGATAGGTAGTGGCTCGCTGCAAATCCTTATCAAGTCTTTACACCATATTTGGAATTGGAAGATTGGCGAGGTGGCAAGAAACAAAGTGCTTTATTTAATTATTTGTTGGAAGAACAAAACACGTAAATACTGCAGAGCCTCCATACGTGATGATTATTAGAACTCCTTCTGCCCAAAGCAGAAATTTCTTTACGTTGATGTTCAAACGGTGTAGGAACGCTGATGTTTCCCTCGTTGGAACCAACAATTTTTTACTAACACCGTCAGATTCAATTTGCTGTGCAAATGCTGTCAAAAACGAAAATCTCGTACGTATCACGCCTCTCATCGCAATCACATGTGTCATATTTCACGAAAACGTACGAATAGCTTTGATTGATCATTTTTTTCTTTAAAAGCACGAAACAAAAAAAATAGAAAAATGCAACCCATGCATAACGAGGTAGTACTGCGTGTTTATGACTTGAGCAACGGTCAAGCCAAAGCGATCAGTAAGAAACTTCTTGGTGTACAGCTGGATGGCATATGGCACACATCTATCGAGGTGTTTGGCAGTGAGTACTTCTTCAGTACGCAGATAATGAAGTGTGTGCCTGGAATGACGAAATATGGACTGCCCGTGCACGTGCACAATCTCGGTGCCTCCAATAAGACAATAGTTGAGCTGGAGGAGGAGCTGTCCAAGCTCAAAAAGAAGTTCAATTTTAAGACGTACAACGTGCTGCTCAACAACTGCAATCATTTCTCGGATGATGTGGTTTTCTTCTTGCTTGAGAAGAATCTGCCCAAGTATATCATGGAAATACACGAGAGTGTTCTAAGGACACCTCTTGCGGCATCTTTCATCGGGATGGGCAACCAATTCAATCCCGGTGCTGAATGAAAAATAAAAAGATGTATAGAGAGAATTTACCGGGCACTTTTCGTTTAGTCTCGTCAGTATTTGAGTATGTCCTTGAAAATCGTTCAATTCTTGCTCAGTAAATATCTTGTGCCAAGTGTTGGCAGTATTTTTTGTTTGCTTGTCCCTTGTGTCTGAATATTTGGTCGTATGTGTCCGTGTTTGGCAGTGCCATGCGTTTTTTTCACGTAATTTTGCTCGCATCAGCACGCTGCTTGCTTTTCATCAATTTGCTCGTGCTGTTGCAGGATTTGAACATGCCCGATTTTTTACCCTTCAGAGCAAATATGAAAGTCGCGTACACGTTCAACAAAGATGTTGGTAATTACCACTACGGAAAACACCACCCAATGAAGCCGCATCGATCTGCCATCGTGAACAATTTAATACACCTCTACAGGCTTAACAACCATATGGACGTGCTTGCGCCGACCGAACGCGATGCATCCGGCTATCATCCCGATGGATATCCATTTGACGACATGAAGACAACCGATGACTGCCCGCTGTTTTATGGCCGCAAGGCATTCTGTGCAGAGTACACGTCTAACTCAATGTGTGCAGCCAACGCACTGCTTACATACGATGTGGCGATCAACTGGGCGGGCGGCATGCACCATGCACGCAAAAACTCACCAAGTGGTTTCTGCTATATGAACGATATCGTGATGGCCATACAGCGGCTGCTTAACTCGTTTGAGCGGGTGATGTACATTGATATTGACATACACCACGGAGATGGTGTGGAAGAGGCTTTTGGGCTGAATGAGAGGGTCCTTACGTGCTCATTCCACAAATATGGTGACGGGTACTTCCCTGGCACCGGTAATTTACTTAGCAACCATTTTTTGCGCGAGAAGGCGACCCCATCACACACGCAGTGCAGAACAAGCGCTGGTCTTGCAAAAAATGTGTGGTCGAAAAATGCACCTGGCAGTCGCATCGTTGATGATGCGCATGTTTTCGACAGCGGTGCCAATTTAAATGATTCGAGCCCTGACCGCGGCCTCACGATGTACAAACCGTTCCAAAAAGAAAAAAAAATAAAAAACGTGATAAATGTTCCGCTACGTACAGGAATTGATGACTGGTCCTACAAATATGTGTTTGAGCCCGTCACGTCCTCAATTATAAGGAAATTTGATCCGAGCGTGATAGTCGTGCAGTGCGGTGCCGATAGCCTGGGCGAGGATAGGCTTGGCTGTTTCAATCTGAGTGTACAGGGGCACGGTGCTTGCGTTGAATACCTGAAATCGTTCAACAAGAAAATGCTTGTGGTTGGTGGTGGTGGATACACCTTAAATAATGTTGTCAGAGCATGGACGTACGAGACAAGTGTGCTAGCTGGCGTGGAGATAGCCGGTGATATACCAGAGGGCCCGTATACCGAGTACTTCCAGCCTAGCAACAGTCTATTTCCTGATTTCAAGCGTAAATACGAAAATGAAAATACAAAAAGCTACCTGGACAGCATAGCGGGGTACATCCAGAACGTTGTTGATAAGGGATGATGTTCTACGTTGTATAAAAATGGTATGGCGTGCACGAGGAATGCTTAGCCTTTAGATCTACAAATAAACTTTTTAATCAGCACAAGCCGGTCTATGGCCCTGTAGTTATGCTTAACCGCTTTCAAGCCACAGAACGTGTCTGCTACCTGTTTTTGTTGCTTCGTCCGTTTTGTACCGTCAGAGTCATTTTTGTATCGTACGTTCCTTTTACTGTTTTATGCTCGTCTGTACGTGTTTCCTTGCACCATCTCGTCCTTAAACTCATCCATTTTTACGAGCTCTTCGATTTCCTTGTCGTATGCTTCGAGCTCGCTCACAACCTCTTTCTCGTACTCCTTTGGCATGCTTTGTCGCATGCGCTCCAAAACACGTTCAGAATACTCCTCAAGTGTAAGTGTAGGTTTTATTCTGCCCACTAACAGTTCCTTCCTTTCACTACCATCGATTTGTATACACCGAAGGGGCTGTGCATTGTTTGCAGAGAGGGTGTCAAACGCTGTTTCTTTGCCATCGCTATGCACTTCCCTGTATGCAATCAGCTGTTCCTCCGCTTCAAGATACTTCACCTCTTCAACCGCCAAAATATAAAAATACTTGAGCATCTCTATGACCCACTCTTCATCGTCGAAGTCTACCTCCCTCGTCAAGAATAACTGTTTCAGCTCTCGCGTTCTTATCTTGTCGTCCCTTGTCTCAAATCTGCAATCATTTGTCAATCCGTAATATTTTATCTCATCGATATAATTTTGGAAATGCTCTTTTCTGCGCATTTGTACGCCTCGTATGTACGGAATAGCAAGCAAAATAGACGGCTCTGTCGTGAGCGGTATCTCCGGAAAGATGACATGAGTGCACGGTTTAAATTCTTTTCTGATAATTTGCGTAATTGCTGTTTTTATGTCCATGGGCAGAGAAAATGCACACAAATATTAATTTTATGTCCATGGGCAGAGAAAATCGTATTTTTGTCAGCGTTGAAACGCGTAAATTTGATAAACTCGCAACTTTCCACAAATTGTAGACACTTCAACACAGTGTAATGATACGTACCACGGTTTGCTGAAAGTAAGACACGTTAAAGAGAGAGGTTGATTTGCATACGATCGCTTTTGATGTACCACGTGTATACCTGCGATAACAGCAGTGATAGATCTTGGGACCACTCAAAGTACTCTTCACACGACAAGAACAAATAACTACCACCAGCTTACGAAAATTAGCACTTAATGAACCAGAAGGTGGCAAAACGTGATTTAATCTCCTAACATACCATAAAATGCTCGCTCAAGCCATCGCATAGACTTACAGGTCGAATAAGCGTAGAACTATGTCGTAGTTGCACGCATTACCTGAAAAAGCAAGCAATTGCTATCAAATTAACAATACGAGGTTACTGCACATACTTCACGTTGTTTTATGGTTTACGCGAATATGAATGGTATCTTCCATAAAAAGATGGTAAAACAAGTAGAATTTATTAATTCATGACCTCATCTTTCTTTTCCTACTTTTTTTTTGGTCTCCAAATTTTATGCCGTCAGCATATTCCTTGCACTCCTCATCTCTCATCCGCAATATCTCTAGCTCATCATTAATCTTGGTACTCTCTTCTTCAGGAGCATCCTTAAACCGCAAAACTTTTTTATCCAAATCAACAAAAACAACATTTTTAACGGCATCTTTCATGTCCTTTATCGTCCATTCCTTATCGCTAATAAATTTGTACAATTTATCCTTGTTTTTGACGAGGAATTCATCTCGTTTTTCGGTGCTACTGCCATTGGAGCCTTTCATTTTTTGGTAATCTTCCTCGGTATAAATCTTCAACAGGTTCCTTTTGATCTTCTTAACACTTTCATCATCTTTCTTCTTTTTTGTGGCTCCTGATTCGGCCTGCGCTGGTTCTTCTTTGCTTTCCGTGTTTTTTTTCTTGTCTTCTCCCGATTCGTGGTCATCAGCAACATTTTCTGTATCCTCAGTTTCTATTTTTTTGTTTTTGGGCACATCATCCTTTTCCACTACGTCAAGATCATCCTTCGATCCTTCACCCGTCTTTTCTTCAATATCTTTCTTACCGAACGCGGGAATATCCATCTTCAGCACTCTTTCCACTTCCTCAACACTTTCCAACTCAACTTTTACGATGCCAAGAAACTTTCTCTTGCCGTTTTTCATCATCCTGATCAGCTTAGGCACAAAGTACTTGCATAGCCCAGATTCTATCTCTTCTAATGATAAGTCTTTATCGATGCCCCCTATAACAACGGTGTAATCAGTGTGCTTTCTAGTCACATATTCATCATAGCTTGTATCATGGACCTTTATCAGTTTTTCACCGTTCACCTTGACAATTTTGCTGTCCTTCAGTGCTTCCTTGATATCATCCTCGCTGTAATTACAGGGCTGCAATTTTTTGAACTTAAGAATTTTTTCTATGGGAATTCCCTCATTTTCTTCACACGTTGTTCTGAGATACGTGTCTTTGTGGTAATTCTGATTGCTGAAGTAAAACTCTAACTGCTTTCTCAGATCGGTCATAGAACTCTGGGGGTTAAAAGATTTGCACGATAAAACGGGTGGATCAAAGCGGATGAACACAAATAGCGTATTTATGGGCGTGTGACACCCGTGCAACAATTGAAAAGGATGAATTCGTTGTTTACTACCAATAATAACGGAAGAAGTGCGTGGGCATTGTTTTACACCAAGAACCACCGTGATGATGTGTTGATCAGCCAAACATTGAAGCGGCACAGAAGATGAAATGAGGAATGTAAACGTGAAGAGGAAAGTGAATTGATAGCTTTTAGGTGAAGTTGTTTTATTTTAAAGAAATTGAGCGACCAAATTTTGAATATGAAACACAAATTCTCCGATCAAATTGGTTGATCTGATAATCAGTTGAGATCAAGAATGGGCGTGTGGTGACATGGAAAGAAACTTGCTTGTGAAGTAAATTTATCATATTGGTAGCCTACAGTGTGGCATTAAACCTATCACGATGAGAAAACTGTGTTTATCAAGAAAAGTGCTTTATTGGTTGTTTATAGCATGTAATAGGTTTTTATTCCAGATTATTTCATTTTTTCATTCCTACGGACGAACAGTGCAATAAAAAATCCTATGTATTGTCCTCTTTCAAATCTTAGCACGCTTTCGCTGCATGAATACCCCTCAATTCCTTTGCTGCCATACGGACAGCATATTTCCTCTATTCGCCACATCTTAGCGATTCTCTCGTCTTTAAAAACGTAATCCACTACCATCTCGTTTTCCTCTTCATGAGAAGAACAGGTTGAGTAGACGATTCGCTCTGCATTCTCGGTGCTCAAAGCGTGTAGAAGTATTTTCTTTTGAAACGAAGATAGTAATTTGACCCGGCCAGGGTTCTTTACGTAATCGTTATGGATACCGCTGCCTGAACACGAAGGATCAACCAAAAGGTACTCTGCGCTCAGTTTTAACTCAAGAAAGTCGCTGTTCAACGCGGTTACGTTTTTGGCATTGCACAGCTGCAAGTTTCGTTGTAGTGTTTTGTACCTGTTGGTATCCTTTTCAACGGCGTATATCAACCCTGTATTGTTCATAATTGCCGATAAATGTGAGGTTTTGTTACCGGGAGATGCACATGTATCAATGACAGTGCTATGAAAGGGTGGATTTAAGATACACGGCGGAAGCGTAGTCGGCAAGCTTTGTATGATGTAGTGTCTGGCTGGGGAGAGTCGTAAGTGTGTAGAGAGCGGGACCTCATAGACAAAGGGTATCGCTGTTGGCCGTAATTGACGTGATTTAATCAAATTTGCTTGGTCCTTATTCAAGATGTATCCATGGACATGCAATCGCCTGTCTGCTTCCAGATCGTTATTTTTATGGCCAGCATTTTCTCTATTATCATCTGTGAACGACGTGTTATTGCCCGAGAAACTATCATTTTCTGCTGTAGCCGTGTCTGTTTCACTCCTATTATTGGCAGAGTGTTCATCAAATACGCATCCATTCGCTAGCGTGTTGATCCGTATATGCTGGCAGGGCACGACCAGATTATTCACAAAGTCGCGATTCACACACTCTCCTTTGCCGTTGTACACTACATCCTGCACCATCAACATGGATGCATATCTATTACGTGGTTTATAACCGCTCAGTGCTATTATAGTTTCGATATTCTTTCTATTCGCTACCGTTCCCCGTAAGAGCTTGAAATGTTCGTCCTTTCTGTAAAAAGAGAGTTTGTGCGTATTATCCAAAATTTTTTTCAACTTTGTAGAAATGTTCTCGTACATGTTCGGGGTATCTCCGAAGTCACGTGAAATATCCGTGCTGATTTTACCATCCAAACCGGCATTTAAAGTGTGCAACAGACATGAACGGCTACGAGGGGTTGAGTAGAGTCTCCTATGATTCGCCTGCAAAACTTCGTGTTCAAGCAGCTTGTGATGGTGTGCTGGATCATCGTTTTTAGTTCTTCACATCGTCGGGTAAACTTCTTTCATTATGTCATTCACACGTATGCACAAGATGCCAAGCCGGTAAGATCTTTCATGAGTTGGCCCCAGCATTACACCGGTCGCACATCATGAAAGAAATCATTTACGCATGGGTACACAAAGGGAAACACTCAACAAACCTGTTATCTGCAAGCTTTGCTGGATGCACGTTATATTGGCAGTTACTTCGAACTAGTCGAATTAATTCTGCTCACTTCTCTTCTGCTTGGTTGTTCTACCCCTCAGCAAATGCTCAGTAACCTCCAGCAAGAGATCAACAACCTGCTTTACATCTATTTCAATGTTATCGGTCTTTTACAAGGCAAGGAAGACATTGATTTAACCTTTTTATTGGATGAGTTGCAGAGCTGTAAAGAACGAATAGAGAAATTATTGAATTTGGAGGAAAGTGAGGATGTTGAAATGGATATTAGAGAGGATTGGGAAGATGCCCAGGCATTCTTTGACTTTTTCTTGAAAAATTGAATAAATATTGGTGTGATTACCAAGTTTGTCAAGGTTTAATTCTTAGTTTTACTAAATATACCTTGAATATGGAAGAGTCATCCATGCAAACCAACTATATTCGGAAAAAATACAAGGAAATCAACGCAGCTTTGCTCATCAAAGTAAGGGCTTGGTTGTATGGCATTGAGAATGTGAGATATGACCTTTTTCATATTCTGGTTAAATAAGTATTTACAACTCATACACACGGTGATCGTAGATGATAGCAGAATGAGAACAAGGCAATTATATGGTTATGCTTCCTGGTAAATTTGTGTAATTCGATTTTTCAAGGAATTTTGGCTAGAACAACGCTGAATGGTACCAGATATTGGAATTACAACGATTTACACGTACTCAAACACAAATATTTACATTGATATTTAGGCAAACAATTATTGTTGTGTCAAATTTCTTGCTAGGAGGTACTGTGGCAGTATCGTGCTTCAGCACGGCATCGATATTCATAAGAATAATCTTTTCACCAAAGGGATGGAATAAATCGAAAAAAATAATCGAGGAACGGCCAATGAATTAATATAAGCGATATAAATTAATGAAGACTATAGAAAATACGCTCATAGAATGAGAATATGAAAAACGTACTGTGTGTAGGATAGCAGATGTGAAATGCTTAAATTATTCAAATGAATTGTTAGGTGTACGTTCGTAGATTAGATATCCACGGATATTGAATACATTTCTGGTGGGTTACCGCCAATCATAATAAAAACACAATCGATTTGTAGATTACTTCCCTATGTTTTTTCTACTAAGAATGGTTTATTTATCTCCTCAATATAGCTATGTTATAGAAGCATTTAAAGTGCTTTCACCGATTTCGATTGATAATTAGATTTTTATGGTATTATTTTCTTAGAATAAGAAGTACACGGTATTAATACGTTTCGGTAACACCAAAATTGAGTTCAGAAATTGATGAGTGCTCAGGAATGGATAAATTAGGTGATGAAATAAAAGAAAACGTTATCACAGAAAATGAATACATAGGTGAAAAATGCACAGGATCACATTACTATTCGCGGCATCGACAATCGAAGTGTCAACATAAATAACGAACAAATAAAACCAAGCTTGTGCGCACATAAAAACTTATATGCCACGAACATTTTCTAAACTGATATACGACAAGTCTTATCATCATATTCCGGCTCTCAGTGTCGCTATCAAAACGTGATACCGTACCTTATTGCGAAAAGCATTCATTCATGGACAAAAATATATTCTAGAATCACATGTTATCATCAATTTGGAGATTTTTTTCTAAATTTTTTAACTGTCAGCTACCAAATAAATAAAATTAGTTCGTTTTTATTCGAACTTCATGTAACGAAGCATGTATTAAATACACACGGCGAGATTTTTGATTCTTAGAATTTATAAATACTATAGGTAACTCATTGTTCGACTCTAGTAGTATAATATTGAATGTTTCTAGAAAAATTTTCATCTAAAACAAACATTAGTTTACAATCTCAAAAAGGAAGAACTTAAACCCGCCGCCACATCCATTTTTATACCATATTATGTTGTTCAGGAATAATCATTAGGAAAAAATGATATTTACACTTATTATATTCTCTTAAACATTGTGTACTCGATTAGTGAAATTGTAAACAATAGGCTCAAGTTCTGATCAAAATCGAAATTTAGGTAACTTCCTTTAAGAGAAACGAGAGAAATATAAAAGAACAATATTCTGCGAATCCATGAATCTTGTTTGTTTCTACAGCTCATTACTCGGCTATATCATTTCTGTGTGTGGGTCTGAAAACAACATGGCAACTATTCAGCTGCGCGAAGATTACGAAATCATAGTA